TTCGGCTATTTTTTTCTTTTTTTCTCTCTATTTTTAAACAATAATTTGTCTAATTGATATTTTTTTGAGTAATAAAATAATTTTAAAAGAAAGTTGATCACAACTTTCCCAGACGCCATTTAATCGAAAAACAATAAGGAATTTTGATTTTTGCCTATAACGATTAAATAGTGGCAAATTTATATTATGAAAAAAAAATTAATTAGACAAATAATTTCTTTTGTTTAGCAATAAATAAAAAAATTCCTAGAAACATGCCTAGGAAATCGCTTTGAAAAACAGTCAAAACCTCGGTCTTCACTTTTCCTTCGAACAGAGGATTTCCATTGGGCTTCGTACAGTAGTGTTGATAAACGGCTCATTTTGAGCCGATTTTTTTAAAACGGCTAACTCAATATTTTAGCCAGAATTATAGTGACTAAGTCTAGAGATTTCTATAATATATGTGTAGACCTTTGTTCCTTCTATGAGCAAAATCTTCAGGCTTGCGTAATATTTTTCTGGATTAAATATTGAGTTAGCCGTTTTTAAAAATCGGCTCAAAACGAGCCGTTTAACAACACTAAATATTGTTTATTTCTTCGTCTACTACCTTTCTAATCGGATTTGCCAGGTATACTACATTGACTTATCACAATTTTTTTTAAAAGTCGAAATCTAGCGAACTCACTCAAATATCACACTCTACGACATTTTTAGAATTTCCCATATATGCCATAAAAACTCACCTATTTCAATTATGTATTATGGTAAACATATTTCAAAATCAAAAAATCCAAGTCCCCTTTTCCTTATTTTTTAATCTATTTTATTCATCTGATATCCAATAAGTTAACCGCCATAACATATTAGCCAATTTGCAATTTTGAAATAAAAATCAATTTAAAAACTTTCCCCCTTATATTATTAAAAATATGTGATAAATAAATCTCCAATTAGTAATAATCTAGTCTGGAGTTTTTGTTCTAACCCAGATCGGGAAAAAGGGGGGTTGAAATTTATTTTACGAAAATCTACTACAATCGAATAATTTTTTCCTTGCAATCCTGTCTGTGACACACAAGTAGAAAAAATGATCATCACTCGATTCACTACAAATTTTCTTAAGGCCGCTATCCTAGACCAATGCTATTAAAATTACTAAGACCCTCTTAAATCCATTAGAAGGCAAAAGACTAAAGGGGTGAAGGATTTACAAAAGATGTCTAAAAATGAAAATAGTAAATAAAAAACTAAGAAAGAGAAGGGAAGGGAAGAAAGAAAACATATGAAGCATTGAAGATTATTCGATGGAAGTGATAAAATTACCTATTGTAATATTATTGTAATCGAGAAAAATCTACTGACACAAGTTTTTTCGAAATCTGTCATCTTGCTGGTACCATAATTCTCCTTACTCTTTTCTGCGTTCAAATCTATCTTGGGAAATTAACTTATACGAATAGGTTAGGATAAAAGAAGGTACTGTGATAGGGTTATCATAAATTAAAAATGGGTATTATTGAATTTTAATAAAATTTAGGACGTTTGGTAATTTTTCATGTGTTAACCGACGAAATATATCACTATTCTCTTATTTATCATCTATTAGGAATAATATTGCATTGATTTTTTTAAAAAAAAATATATCTATTCCTCGAATCCCGGAAATCCCCCCCCCCCGGAAAAAACCCAGAAAAATACCCCAAGAATTTTTTTTCAAATTTATCGAATTTACTTAAGACTTAAATAATATAGGCATATTTTTATTTGGATTATATTGGATATATACTCAAATTTATAAGGTATTGACAAATTGGTAAGCGGAAAATAATTCCCCGGAACAAAAAACAGGAAAAAAATCCCCGAAAATAATTACCCGAAAAAAAAATCCCAGGAAAATAATTCCCCGGAAAAAAATCCCCCGGAAAATAATTCCCTAAAATCCCAGGAAAAAATATCCCCTGGAAGATAATTCCTCGGAAAATAATCCCCCGGAAAAAAATCCTTGGAAAATAATTACCCGGAAAAATATTCCCCTGGAAAATTAATCCCCGGATAAAAAAAGCGGAAAAAATTTCCCGAATAATTTTTACAAAAAAAAACAATCCCGCCGCTAAAATAATGAAAATATTTCTAAAAAATTATGTTAGTATTTTCTGAACGTTGAGAGTATTTCTTTTTTAATTCCAAAAGGGCAATCTTTAAATGAGAAATCTGTTGGTAGCTTTTATATTTTATAATTTAGTAGATAGCATAAAAAGAGTAGATTTGTGACTATAGATTTTTATAGAAATATATGAAAATTATGAACAAGGTTTTACAATTTAAAATTGAAAAGAAAAATGTGAAAGCAAATTTTTCCCTAGAAAGAGAAAGGTTATTTCCATAATCCACTTTTCATCTAAACTTGAATACCATGAAGAGGGGGGGGGGTTATTTCTAACACGCCACTAAGGTTAAAAATTAAAATGAATATTATGACACTACCCTGTTTCGTTCGTTTATATCAGTTTGAATCCCGGACAAAAATAACTAAAAATTGTATCTGATTATAAATTTTCAAAAAAAGTATTGATCCTAATCACTTATTACAAAAGCTTATTTAATTCAAAGACTATCTCAAGTAATTGAACGCTACCAAAAAATATGGTGAATTCCATATTAAATCAATCAAGGTTTCAACCCGAACCCCTTCAATTTTTCTTTAATTTTGTATACTGGTAGTATATACTATAACTATGAAAAAATGAAGGGGATTTTTTTTCCGGGGAGTAATCTTCCGGGGAATTTTTTTCCCGGGGATTTTTTTTCCAGGGAATTTATTTCCGGGGATTTTTTTTCCGGGGAATTATTTTCCTAGATTCAGATAAATTAGTATTTTAGAAAAAAATATTATAAAAATTTTTTTTAAATAAGCTAAATTATAGGCCCTAATTCATTATTTAAAGATTGCTCATATACACTCTATAAAAAATGCTTAAACAAGATAAAATGCTGATGTTCAAATTGGTACTGGGAAAAAAATACCCAGTAAAATAACCCATGCATTTTTTATTTTTCATAATAAATTTCTATCTTAATAAATACAATATGTATTCTTAATTATGATATTAGGTAGACTATTGACAAAAATTTTTAATAAGATATATTTATTTTATTGGTAAATCAAGATTTGTATATACAAATTTAATAATTTAGAATAATAATTATTTGGGTTGACATTAAATATTTAGGTATCGCTCTTAAAAAATCTAGAAAACCCCATCACGGCATTCATCGCAAAATCAACAACAGAAATTAGAAGTTTGCGAAATCTGTCCCCAAAAAATTAACAGTTCATTAGAAAATTTAACTGAATCCGGGTATTAAAACTCTGCTATTTTGTTTTTGGTGTCACTACACACCATCGTTCAAGTTTGGCCATCGATAGCCACCTCGTATTTCTTTTTTTTAATCAATACCCAGATTTATGTGTGTTTATTCCCAACCAGATTAGAAAAACGATGATTCCAACCTTCGCATTATTCTGGCGTTCTTCGTTGGATAGATGGCTCTGATTTACTTTCCAAGTTCTGAGGAAACGGGCTCAATTCGAGGTGTCTGAGATTGAGAATAACTTCTTATGATATTATTTTTATCGAAATAATCAAGAATATCCTTACCATTGCTCGGAGTAACTGATATCAGGAATGTCATTGCATTGCCCATATCACATAAAGGAGCAAATGCAAGCCGTCCATCATGCCATAAAAAAATTCATCTACCCTGTATTTCCACCTAGCTTCTGAATTTTTCTATGGGTACTTTGACAAAAATGGTAAGAGCATCCTCTGATTACGATGTGACCCCCTAATTGAAAAAATAAATAAAAGTATATAACATATTAATACCAAAGATTAACCGCGCTCCTAGCAGAATTTTCGAAAATGGATCATGAAATAAATCCCTTTCCTAACATTTGGATATTATTTCGAATATTTTATCGAAAGTATTTTGCGTTTTTTTTGGAGTAAACAAAACAGCGGTGATAAAAATAGTGTTTATTGATACTCTAATGAAATATAATTGTAGAAACATTTTGGAGACATAGCAAAATGCTCATCCATATACCATGCTGTCGTATTTGCTATTGTTTAGGATTTATCCTCTGTAAACTTGATTATACGTTATTCAGCATGTGGGCCATTATCAAATAATAAAAATCTTTAGTTCTGGGAACCACAATTTGTCCCAATCATCTATAATATTTAAATTTTTATAAACCATATGGCTTTTTTTCCAAGGGGTTATTCCCGGTGGTTTTTTCCCAAAGGGTTTTTTTTCCTATTACCCTTCTCCTCATATTTAAACTTTGTGTAAAATTTATGCAAATTTTTTTTTTTGAAATATATATCTTAAAATTTGTAAAATTTTTTAATATTAATTTCAATATAATAAAAATGGATATAAAATATCTAATTGATATTTAAGAGAATGTTTAATAAAGATTTTGCAAAGTCAGTCCGAGATAAAACTATTATATAATAACCCCCCTCATTCCCATGCTAGAGGTAAGTCATTATTTCTAAGATAAATCTGAGCTATATAAATAATAAATTAAAGTTATCCTAAGTAATAGCCCAATTATTTCCATATAATTGTAAAATGACATTTTTTTGGATTTCCATAAATATTTTACCTTTTCCAAGCTTTCAATTTTGTTAAAATTTAATACAAATTTATTTTATAAATATTAATTATGATGTACTATCATCAGAAGAAAAAAAATTGATATAAGAGAGAAGGATATCGAGTTTTTTAGGGTGGAATTAACCACACAATGTCCATGCTTTTAGTGTTCTAATAATTTATGGCTTTCATTTCGCTCTTGTTTAAAAGAAAAAGTTTTAAAAGCCCGATATTGAAAGACCTCAAAAAATTATCGTTAAACATTAACAAAGATGTGATAAATAACATTTCGAATAGGGATTTAACATACCAATTTGATATATTTTTCCAAATTATGAAAGAAATTTATTTTAAATACCTAAATAAAGAACAAACAAAGAGATAATATTTTCAGAGTATATTTAAGTAATATTAGAATTAATTTTTAATAACTAAATTATAATTCAAAAATTCTTTTTGATTTCACGAATTTTTAAATTCATCATTCTCTAGAGCCTGTTAACCAACATTACATATTTTTTTTGGTCACAATCTATTTCTATTTGTTAATTTTTGTTTCTGTTTTGGCCGAGAACATTCTTTCTATTTCTGATTCGTCTTGTTCCATGAAGTCGGCATAATCAAACCTTTCAAAATAAATTAAAATTAAAAAAATATATATATTTAAAACAAAATAAAGTTCTTTTCATAAGGCTACAGCCAAAATATTTTATAAAAAAATTCGAAAAGTTTAAAAACTCTTGAATTAGATTATGGACATGTTTATATTTTTATATTATATAAAAGCTTATTTCTTCTTTTTCGACAAAATTTCAAATGCCAATCAAATTTTTTGATGTTTTGGACACAGCCTCTTAGATAACATTTCTAATATATTAATTATCAAACGTTTCTTTAATATTTAAGAGGGCAGGTAAATTGTATGTGTTAGTAGGATCGTAAAGGCTATCATTCATATTCTCGCTTGGGGCAACACTTTTTGCGGTGTATGAAGTATTACGACTCGATGATTTACCTTAACGATTATTTAAAATGGCGTTTTAAATAAAAGGTTATTAATAAAATTTAACCTTCCAAATTATATTAAACTTTTGAAATAAAATTCATCAAATTTTACTTGTAGAGGATGCCATCTTAGATGTGTCGTTATCCGAACTGTAAACACCACCTTCATTCTTTGTATAAACACTGTCTATTTCGTAATACATTTCGTCATCGACGGTATGCTATTTATAAATATATATCATTATCATAACAGTATACACAATTTGAGCCGTAAAAAACGGCTTACTCAATATTTCATCCAAAATAGCAAGCCTGAAGATTTTGCTCATAGATGGCACAAGGGTTTGGCATCTATTAACGAAATCTCGAGGCTTAGACAATATTTTTATGGCGAAAATATTAAGTTTTTTAAATCAAATTAAGCCGTGTAACAACTTTATCTTCCCTCCTTCCCTTGAATTTATGACTAAAAAAAATACTAAATTAATAAATCAAGGGTTTTCATATAAATAATATTGAATCTAATAATTACTAGTTAATAACCCGTCAAGAATGACGGGGTTGAGGGGTAATTAGTTTGTGTATATGGTACTAAATACACCTTATTAATATATTTTATAAAAATATTATAATTTACGAGAAAAGGAGGTAAATTTGTGAATCCCACCTCATAAGATATTCTTAATTTCTGATTCATCGATCATCGAATATGGAAGAAAAGTATGATGACCCATCTTTCTTGAAGGGCAAAATGAAAAATATATAACTAAGAGTTACCAGAGCTCCCGTTAGTCAGCATTGTTGAGTCCGTCAAAAATGACGGAGAATGAGAATGTTCTCCTTACTATTATGATAGTTGTTACCCGTTATTTGAAAATAATATCCAATTTTTTTTCTTTATAGCCCCCCCCCCTCCAATTTCAGGTCATGTCCAATCTATTAAAACTAATTTAATTACTCTGTTTTGGAGATCTTCTTGGGCCTTAATTTTTTGACCGGCCCATATTTAATGTTAAAAAAAACTCCCAATTCCGGCGCAAGCCAATGATAGGTTTCAAAAAAATTCCCCAAAGCCCACATCCAAAAATTAATTATTTTTTATTTAATGAAAATAAACAATATATAAATATATTTAGGCAATCATTTTGTTTACAATATTGAAATTTATTATTATTAGAAGAAAAAAAGGAATATTTCTTTAAATTATCAACTGTTTCAAATAATCTAAATTTAAATTTAATAATTTTAGGCCCAACCCAAGCCCAAAAAATTTTTAAAAATCCAGGTCAGGCCCAGGCTCGCTAGAAAATATATGGTCTGCGGGCCGGCCCGGCCCATGAAGGTCTCTGGTTTTGAGTCAAAATATATTTAAAGCTATTTCTTGATATCAATATTATTTGTTAAAATATTACTGATCTTCTATGACTATTATTTAATATTAAAAAATTCTCAAGCAAGGTCCAAGGCCATAATAATTTTGAAAAAATATCCCCAACCAAAGATCATAATAATTTTGTTAGTTGAGAACAGGAATAAAATATTTTAAAAAAATCATAATGAATTTAAAAATACAATCAAAATCAAATTTTATGGGCCTTTCATTTGTTTTAAGTCAATGTATGATAGTTAATAATAAAAAGAATTTCCTAGCGTCCAAGCTGATAATATTTTGAAAAATTTTCTCCAAGCGTAGCCAAATATAATTTATAAAAATATTTTCCAAGCCCAGCCACACCCATTATAATTTTAAATAATTTTTCTCAAACCTGTCCAACCGATAATAATTTAGAAATTGTTTTCCCAAACCTGGAGGTTCCAATAAAAAAGAAAAATATTGATATATTTAAATCACTTTGTAATAAGAATTGTATTATAAAATTTTATATAGAAAGGGGGGGGGGGTGGTGGTGATTGGAAAGAATGCTTGTCTATCGAACGTTAAGCCAGTGGTTCGAATATCGTAGATGTATAAAAGAAATTTTTTAAAAAAGTTTTCTTTTTTTAAAAAAAATAATTTAACAATAGAGTATTTAACATTAAGATGATAGGAAAGTTTATACCAAAAATAAAAATTATCATTAAGATTATACGAAAACGTTCACTTCTTGATTACGACGATTATATATTAGATAATTATTATAATTGTTTTCTTCTTATTATTTTTTTTTATATAATCAAGTTTAAAAAAAAACAACTTATAATAAAATATATCAATCAAAAAAAAAGTAATATATATTTACAACTTCATCAAGTACATAAAGAAGTTTCGTGGGGAAGGGAGTTTAGTGGGCATTTTCTGGCCATAAATATTTTGAAATATTATAGGCCAACATTTTAAAAGTCTTTGGCTTAATTACATTTGCATAAAATAATTTCGGTTTTATACTCTGTTTTTTCCTTCCAAAATTTCAATTATAGTAATTATTTAAATAATTATTAATTAGGTTAGGAGAAAGAAGGGTAAGAGTTATAATTTTTTTTTTTTTACTAGATTAGATATTTTTGTAAAAGAGTAGAAATCCCTCCTCCCAGCTTTATTTTTCCAATTGGCTGGCAGCTTCAAAATTTGTTTGTAAACTTTTACAAATTTTAAAAGTTAATAATCCATATTCATAAGTTTTGGAACTTTCAGAAAATCTTAAAAATAATGTATTTGAAGATGTTTTTATATTTCAATGAAGAAAAAAAAAGAATGAAGCTTATTTATTAATTTAAAATTTCACAGTAAATTTAAATATTTATATGAATTTTATTTCAAGTTTACATAAGTAAGAGAATAGAAAGAAATAACGTGAGTTAAAATTTTAAGTTAAATTTGTTTGAATGTAACGAATATTAACGAATTAATTTTTAAGTTATTCTTTAATTAAGATAAGATATTATACAAATATATCTCTCAATCTCTATTTTTTATGATATCCCAAATTTAAAATAACAGTTTATTAAATTTAATGTATCACTATCATAAAGCGTTGGAGAAAGTTCAAACTTTCAACATAATTAGTTACTTTAGAAATCTAACTGTAACTAGTTATAAGTTACCTATTATAATTTAACTGTACTTAGTTACTTTCCTAGAGAATAATTTATTACTGTAGCTAGTTTATCTCCATAAATAATTTTTAACTACAGGAAATAAAGATATATAATAATCCCCCCCCCCCAAGTCAAATTAATAAAGGTTTAATGCTAAAAGTTTGGTTGTTCCTTAAGGCTCGGTCCCGAAAAAAACCCGACTAATTGACTTATTTCTGTTAAAATGATATATAACTAAAACTTTGCGAATTTTGAAGGGGTATTCCTCGCAGCCCTATCCCAATTTTGTGACAAAATGCTTCGAAGCCGTTATTTAATAGTGAATTAGTTATCGTTAACAGATCTGTTACTTCTCCGTCTATTTTTTAATATATAGAAAAGTATTCCATTGACTGAGAGGAAGCCCAAAGTTTATTATTAATTAACTAGAGATATGTTTAATTATAAGACTTGCGTAAAAATTCGTGATGACATTCTCGTAAGATTCAAATAGTCAACATTAACATATATGAAAATTAATTAATATGAAAAATTTAGTAAAAAAAAACAAATTTTCTATTATAATGTAAAAAAAATGAAAGAATTGTAAACTAAGATTTAGACGGGTTCTTCTCTCATCAAAAAGATGGACATTCAGGGTTTCCTATGCTTTAAAACTTTTCTAGTTTTTTTAATAATTATGATATTTAATCAAGGGCGAAAGGAATACTTAGAAATAAAATTAATATTTTTAAAGGTTATGGGCCTGCCCATGCTTATATTTTATTTATATGTTATGAGGGCTAGAGTAGAGCTGCAAATATATCTTAATGCGTATACTTTAAAAAAAATTAGATCTTAAATGTAGTAGTGAAATGTCAAATTTGTTGGCATAACATCAGTTATTTAAAAGGTTAGATATAATAAATGTGCTGAAATAAGAGAGAAGTTTGACCATTTATGTCTCTTTACATAATTATAAGTTTAAAATTTGTAGAATCTCCAACCTAATTATTTTTACACGCACACACACATATATATATACCTTGATCTATCTAAAACCTACTTCCATAAAAAGAAAATCAGAAAAAAGAGTTAGTCTTTAAGCCAATAATTTCTCAAGTTTACAATAATTTAAAAAATTTACAATCACTTCAAATCGATGTGTTCCGAAATTTTTTTGAATTTCTAAGGACCCCCTTTGACTTTATCTTCATTTTTACTTTATTTTATCTTAAAGTTTCATTTTTTTTAAATAAGAAGCAAAATAAAATTGCAGTAAACGGCCAATTTTGACTAATTCACTTAAAAAGCTTCTTTTTGAGTTATAAGCGGGGTTTTTTTCTCACTATTAATCTAAAATATTCAAAAACTTTATGACCAAATAATAGTTTCAAACAAATATATGTACGAATATAATTTTTAGAAACCTTGGTAGATCCTCCTTTTGATGCATCATAAAATTGTTTAGTGCTTCCTTTAACATTTTTCTTTTCTTCTTCAGAAACTCTATTGACTTCTGCAATGAGTGAATTCTGTCTGAGTGCAGATCTATATTTCATTGACCACACGATTAAAAAAATTAGTACTATAAATAATAATATAATTACAACCGGTAGGATCACAGTTAGTAAACGCTTACGTTTGTCCAATTCTGATTTACCAGCTAGTAACTCTGGACTCAGGGAAGTGTTCTGTTTTTCCACCTCATTTTCGACGGAAGCATTCTGTTTTCCCACCTCATTTTCGACGGAAGCATTCGAAGATAAATATTCTTCATCACTTTTTTCTTTATTACAGCTCCATTTTACAAACGTGATTTGAATAGAATCATCAATACAAACTCCATCTATTATCAAGTTATTTATTTGCTCAGAATTGAATGGACTGTCCCCTGTTAAAAATCTTCCATAATTAGTTTTTGTAAGTGAATATAATTCTTTGTAGTGGCATTTACATTTTATAGGATTGCCAGTAAAAGTTAAAATACTCATACCTCGACTTAAATATTTCCGTGAAATGGAAGTTAAGAAATTATCATGCAGGTATAAAAATTTAACTGAAATTGGTAAATCTGTATCATCAAAAGTTTTTAAACTATTACTATGAAGCGTTAGCTCTGTAAGGTTTGTTAGGGCAGCGAATGCCTTTTCTTGTATAGAAGTAATCATATTTGCATGTAAATATAAACTGGTCAAGGATATTAGATTCGAAAAATCCGAATCTCTTAATATTTTGAATTGATTGCTCGACAAATTTAAAGTCAATAAATTAGGTTGAGCCGAGAAGCTTCTAGCGTGGAGAGCCTTTATTAGGTTAAAACTTAAATCCAAATGTAATAATTTTCCAAAAAATGTATAAGATACCCGAGTGGTATCTTTTAAGTCACAATTAACAAATCTTATTGACTGTGGATAATAAAACTCTGATTTATTGGACATATTGACTGGAAATATACTTTGTATGGTAATATCATTTGAAGTGAAATTGATGTTGTAAAAAATGAAGGATTTCAAAATTTGATTTGAACGATTGCTCCATTTGCCATATACGTGAAGAGCTAAATGTTTTTGCAAACTCGAAAAATCTAAGTTGGCACAAAATAAGGAATAATTAACTACCGAAGAAATGTTTTGTAATCTTATAAAATCACTGATATTCTTTTTGATGTTATTTTTTATAAATTTACAGAATTTTGAAAATTCTGCCAATGTCATATTAATGGGATGATTGCAATAGCATTTGTTATTTCGAAATTCTTGGACAAAAATGGAGTTATTTGTTGAATCATAACATTTCAGAAATGCGGTAAATGTAGGATTAGTTCTTGATAGCCACGTTTTTAAGGGACTTAACATACAATCACATAAGCTTCCATTCATTTTGATCACTAAATTTGTTTTAAGGTTATCTAAATTACAGGGAAAAACTAGATCACCAAATTCAACGTTGCCTCTTATATCTAAAAGTTGTAATTTATTTAAATAAGCCATGGCCGGTACTGATGTTATGTCATTAAAATCCATACTCAAAGATTCTAGGATATCACCCAAACTTCGTGGAACGACTGTATGATCAAGATGAACGAAATTATTATAAGTGAGAATCAAGTTCTTCAAACTTTTTAATCTGTCAAAGGTTCCTGGATATAAATAAGTTAATTTATTGAAACTCAAATCAAGTGTGCATAATTTGGGTAACTCTTTGAATGCCGAACTTGAGATTTCATATAGTAGATTAAAGCTTAAGTTCAAAGTCTCCAAAGAATCCATGTAATTAAAGGTATTCTCTTTTATTTTTCTAAATATATTGATAGAAAAGTCGATATGGGTTAATTTATGACAATAGCTCACTATGCCAAAGGTTAAATAGTTAGTATTTCCGAGATTAAAAATGACCGTTTCAAGATGCGGAAATTGGATTAAATGATTAGGTTCTATAAAAGATGTTGTCACTTTAAAATTAGATACATGTTTAAGTGCGGCAGTATCATTTTGATTTTCACACAAGAAAGGTCTGTATGTGAAATCCTTATAATCTAATTCCAATCTTCTATAAGTCACATTTGTGATGGTTCGACAATACTTAGAAAATGTATAATCTTGAAAAATTAATTTTGTGATATTATCAAATATTATGGCCGTTATATTATCGGGAAAATTTTCAAACGTAGAGGTATTGTTCCAAAGGCCATTCGAGCAATTTATAGCGTTGTATGGATTTTTGGCTTTTTTATAAAAAAAAAAATTTATTTATTTTTTATATACCTAAGTAAAATTTTTATCTATTTTTATTAAAATAAGCCAAAATAATGATCATATGCCAACTTAATGAAATTTCTTTTTGAATTATATGACCTGTAAGATTTGACAATTATAATTTTATTAAAGTTCATTTTTACTTAACCATAAACCATACCCATACTTGTTTAATTTGAAATATATATTATCCAATCAAAAAAGTTCATTGAGTTGGGTAATTATCTAAAAGAATTAGTGTTAAGGACGAATGTGCTCAAAATGAAAGTTTGAAAAAAAAAATATTGAACGGTATCGTCCCATTTATTTTAAACCAATTTTGAAAGTAAACACGTGTCCATTTTTTCTTTGAAGAACTCAATCGTTTTTTAAACCCATTCAATTAAAAAAAGTTTAAAATCTTTTATTAAAATTCAGCTGTTTTAATCAAATATTTTTATACTATTTCCTTACTTAGTAGTGTATTTTACTTTAATATGGTTTATATTTTATTATTTTTAAATTATAAGTCTCACAGTTTGGATTCATATGATATATATTGTTATAGTTTTTATATAACTTTTCTTATTTTTGTCATATATATTTTTCCATATCCGAATAATTTTGGTTACTTACACTGAATTCACAGTTTGCCGCGAATTCGAGGCGAAGAATATTTATGGTAACTATGAATTAGGGGTAACGCATCTATTTCATAAAATTTAAATCCAGTTAAACCGTTTGTGCAAAACGTTGTGAACTCAATTATTTTTTTGGCATTTATCCGTTATATATGGCCCTTTTTTTCGTTCTAGCTTTACGCAAAATGTTACAATTATATACATTATTCACCGAATTTTTAATGATTCAAAAATTGGAATGGCTTATGAGTATTTGTCAGCAACTAGCTCATCTAGTGCAAAGGTTTTATCTTCCGCTGAGTTTACGTTAAATTCAAGAAGATCATCCTAATATCTGACAGATTTTAAAAATAATTATTTTTATACAGGATAATCATGAATTACAATATTGAGTTTGAATTTATAATTAGTTTTCTTTTCAAGAAAGATCTAAAAATATACCGATATTTCTGTAATCTATATTTTATTCATATTTTAAATGAGCTTTTCCTAAAAAGATTAGCAATTTAAAAAATATTTTATAAAAGTTCATATCGGTGCGCCGATTTACGCTGCCTATGCTGACGGCGGCAGTGACCCACCGCCGATTTGAATTTTAAAAGTCTCGCCTGCTGCCAATAGCTTGGTTGGCGCACAGGTCTAGCTATATATTTATATCAATAATTGTAATTGTACCATAATCGAAAAGAACCTGTAACTGGCACAATGGTTTTTCTATATTTGCGCTGGTATACGTTTTTTCCGCGGCACTTATAGGTTTTCGTAAAAATTTATAATTATCATAAACTTTCGTGTTCTCTGTCGAATAATTTCCAGAAAATTTAAGGGATAACATGTTCCCTTTATTATTTCTGTAAACGTGGGGTTCATTTCGATCATGATTTTTAGATAAACGTCTCCTAATACGTTTCGTACGATTTACATGTTTGGTTAATATCATCACCTCACTGCTCCATTCATCCGAAATTTCTTCTTCCACATATTCTTCTGGTTTAATTATATTACTTGGTTCTTGTGATAAATCACCATTAATCATAAATTGATCATTTAGAACTTCAACATTTGATGGGAATTTGGCTAAAGCCTTTAATTTCTTTTGAAATTTTATTGGTAAATTTTTAAACCAATAGGTCTTCATTTGATTCGTCTTTTCTTGTTCAATCTCTTTAAGGGTTTCATTTGATTTCGTTCTACTGTTGACTAAGATCAAAAATAAAATTAATCGTTCAGTTGACCCCAAACTCAAAAATTTTCCTATTTCTACTGAAATAGTTACTAACAGGTATGAAACAACCAGAAACAAGCCCAGCAATATCAATTTGCGAGTTCGGGAAAAATTCGTATTATATATGTTAAACACCAAAATAGTAGTTTTTACATTATTCAAATTTTTAGGAGTGGATTTGTTGCAATTTTTAGATAAAACACTATGATTATGTACAATCATCGGTTCATGATTATTCTTTGAATATAATTTTTATATAACTATGATATTACTAAAAAGTAGGTTTTTAAAATAATATTTTTAAAAAAAAGGTAGAGAGGGAAGGTTAAAATTAAAACAAATTTAAAATACCATTAATTTATATTAATTAAAATCATTAAATAAAAAAAAAATTTGACTAAAATTATGTGATAATGAAATCAATAAATACAACAATCATTTAGGGCTAGATATTTTTATTTTAAAAATAAAAGAAATATATTATAATTTTAATATCTAGACTCTGTATAATTTTTAATTAAAAAGCTGAAGAAAATGAAAGCTACTTGTTATTAGGTTTAGGGTACGCTATAAAATAGTTATTTTCATTCAAAATTATAATTTATACACATAAAATATATTTAAAATCTGAATATATGTATGTCGTAGGGGTTTAGTAAATTCAAGGTTATGCTTTTATAGAACCGTGTTCTTATAAAATTTTTTAATACTTTATAGCGTGCTTTTTTAGTTTTGAAAGGCTTGATTTTGTCGCAAAAATCGTATTCCAGCATGCAGGGACCTGGGATGAACAAAATGAACCGGTTTACTAGAATTAAACTTTGAAATTTTCTGAAGCGTAACCGAACCTTTATACCGAATCGCTAAAATAAGCTAACCGAACCTTTATAATTTTTCTAAACCGGGTTAAAACTCTCTAGTTCATACTACCGGCCATAAATGAATGCCCACCCTGCATTTTCTTCACTTTTTTCTTAAAATAAGACAAATAACACACAATATGAGGTTTAGCGAATTTATTTATAAGTTTACATATTATTGCATAAAATTACAAAAAATAAAAGACATAGCAATTATTTAAGATCAAATTTTGGTCTCATCAATAGGACCACCTTTATTCTTAATAATTGTTGCAAAAATTTTTGGTAATCTTTCGATGAGATTTTTTTAATATTTGGAAGTGATTTTGTTCCATTCTCTCTGCAATACTTCCCAAAGGTGCGAATGAGAGGTTAGTGAGCTTTTTCGCGCTTGTCGATCAAGGTGATCCCATAAAGTTCGATTAGATTGAGATCGGGAGACTAATGGCCAAGTCCAACTCGAGAATATCGTGTTGTTGTAGATTTTGGAAATAATCTTTGCATAGCCTGGATGTATGCTTTGGGTCATTATCTTATGAAATAAAAAGTTATTCCCGATCAAACTATTTCCTGATGAAATCATATGGTCCTCAAGGATTTGCTGGTATCCCTCCTTGTTAAGGATAACAGACCCTCCCCCGAGTTTGACTGTAGGAATTATGCAGTGATCGCTCATTCGCTCTCCAGCTGAGCGGCATATTGCTTTCTTTTAGAACCGAAGATTTCGAATTTTGACTCATCACTCCATAAGACGTGGTACCAGTTGGCAGATGTCCAAAATTGATGTTTTCGTGCCCAGTCTAATCGCTTGAGTTTATCTTTTTTGCTCAAGAGTGGTTTTTAGACCGCTGCCCTACCATAAAGTTCAAAGCTCCTAAGGCGTCTTTTCACGTTGTGACATTTATTGGGTTTTCCCGAGTCAGATTAATCTCCGCAGCTATCTCTGAGGCGACAAGGCGTCGATTGCGTTTACTGATCCTTGCTATATACCTATCATCGCTTAAAGTCGTTTTGTGGGGTTTTCCAGGCCTCTTTGGATTCAATATTATAATATTGTTGCGTAATCTTTTAAGTATACAATCGACTGTTCGTCGAGCTAAGGTTAATTCTCTGTCAATTCGGCGATTACTTTTACCACTTATGTGTAAATTAATTATTTTGCATTTAGTTGGAATAGAAATTTCTTTTCTTTTAATCATTATGGTCAAATGTTCGTTAAAATATTTATAAAGACTGAAAGTTTCTTTAAACAATGATTTAAAACAAAAAAAAATCTAAGAATTTTTTAATAATTAAAAATAGGTATTAATAAGCAGATAAGATTGTGATTAATAACTTTCTTCCAAAAAACAATGGGCAACTTAAAATTGTTGCTGAAAAAAACTAATGAACCCTATTTTGCCAAATTGGTCATTTTTGAGGTTAATGTGCTTACTACCAAGTGAATGTATGGAAATATTCTAAATACCAACCTAATTTGCTAAATACAGACCATAATTTATAATATAATAAGACCCTTATTATTTAATATATTATAATGGAATCACGTGGTCGAGTCCGGCCTCCTATATATCATTCCCCCAAGGATGGAACCACCAAGTTAGAATAAGAAAAAAAAACATAATCATTACCGGAATTCGAACCCGTGACCATAGGATCAGTAAGCGAAGCTCTTGCCGACTAGGCCATGGCTTTCCAAAAATCAGGATTTTTCAAATATATATTATAAATATATTTGATAGTGCCTATCCAAATGAAAAATAGACAAAAGTCAAATTTGATAGGTAGTACCTTAAGGTCGTAAGCATCATTAACCCATTTTTGACATGTTATTTTCAAAGGCTAAAATTTCATAGAAAGATTTATAGAAATTCCGAGTTTTTTATTTCTAAACATGTCTAGACATCTTAAATAATCAATTCGCTTTTACCCAAATAAGTTAAAAAGTTTTAAGTTATTAATTTTTTTATGTAAAAATGCAGGATGGGCAGTCATTTATGGCCGGTAGTTAATAACATTTCATCTTGAGTTTTTATTATTTTTATAAAGATAATTTTTAATTTTTGCTAGATTATTTATTTTAAATATTTCGATTTTTTGTTGCTTGATTATATATATTTTTTTGTATTACATCTCTTTATTTTTAAAAAGGCAGTTACAATTTAAAAAATTAAATGCAAATATAAATGATATCAAAATAAAAATATATTAAAAAAATATATATAAATTTTATATATAATAACATAAAAAATTGTGGTTAATTCAATCTAATTCCGATACTTCCGTTATCGGCCTCAGACTGAAGCGGCCACGAATCTAATCGAGGTCTCCACGTGTATTCCATCATGCGTCTCCCCAAATTCTTGGGGGGCAGCTCCCCTTTGGTGGCAATGAAAACATCGGCCCCGCTCGCCCATCGGTTGAATTCTTGATTGGGGTGAACCTCCCTACAAAAATTCTTCTAAATATATTTTCAATATATGCAATTTAATTTGTAGACTAAAATATATATGAATTCTTTTTTGTTTTTACCTTCTTTATTGTTAACATGTATACTAGTGTTGTTAAAAGGCCCGATTTTGGTCTATTTTTAAAAATGGTGCCATTAAGATTTTAGTCAAAATAATTATTATGTAAGCGTAGAGATTTTTCTCATAGGTGGCAGATTAGTATGACCACTATTTGTCAAATTTCGAGGCTTACATTATATTATTTTGGATCGGGCTATTTTTTTAAATGGACTCAAATTGGGCCGTTTAACAACACTAATGTAAACACAAGTAAAATACAAAATAATTTTAAAATAAAATAAATTTTCAGGTGAATTTTTTTTTCTCTTACTTTTACACCTATCCTTTTGTATTTATTAATAATATAATACAAATACCTTATACATAAAAATTTCGCAAAATCTATAAAAATATAAAGAATACAATGAATCGGCAAATACTCATAATTACTTGCTACTCTCAAAATTATAATGTACTACAAATGAATATGAGTCGACTATGTCAATTGACAATTTAATAAAGAAAAGATTTAAGAAATAGGATCCATGTACCCAAAAAGACCCTCAAACATTTATATGCATTCATTATTTGTTCTTGATGTAGACAATTAAAAATCTTGTCGCTTCATTAATCTTGATTTATATCTTTTTACTATTGCATAGCTTAGTTTGTTTTTTCCATAACAGTTAGCAAAGACGGATTTTCATTAAAAATATTCTTTATTTGCATCATTTGTTAGATGTTTCTTTTTTCTAAATTTCTTACCACATTCAAATTTCAATAAGCAAAATTAAATTTTAAAAATGGCATCTAAAAAACTCGTATGAACCTCTAAAAAGTAGCCCAAGCCTCAATAAAATTTAATTTGCCTATAATACTTTTTCGCATTTAATTATATCAAGAAAAATATTACCATTTCTTAATTTTACACTGTTTTTCAATTATATACATAAAAATAAAAACCAAAAGAATCGATTTTCAATTGGTTTCTTTAAAAAAAAACATAAAAGTTAATGGATGTGAGATAGAAAAATTATAAAATATAATTATCTGGTATTATATGACTAGAGAAAATATGGTGCCCAAATATGTTAATTTTCTCAGAAAAATACACTTGGGATAGGGTCTTATGTTATCAAAATCTTCATGCATGGATGATAGATAATACAATTTTGAATAGTCTTCACTTTTAACTTAAACAAAATATGAAATATTTGGATACAAAAACGGATTTACAAAAAAAGATAAATTTGATTTTCAATAAAATGTATCCTAAGCAATATTAATTTTTTTTTCAATTATAATTATTTAGATAAGTCAGACAAATGGTGACCTAGATATATAAATTTATAAATATATGTAGTGGTCTTTTTTTAATTTTGAAACATCCAACTTTTTAATTTCAGATGACAATTCTGACCTGACTAAAGGAAAGAAAGTAAATATTGATAAGTTTTTTTTATATAAATGAGCAGTAGGGTCTGCAAAACCCAACGGGTCATATCGAATTTTTTTTTCTAATTGGACCGGGTTTCGTAGGGTTCGAAAATATTTTGTTCAATTATGAATTCAGTATGGTTTGATTTTATATTGTTAAACAACATTCATTTTCCATTATTTCTTATAACATACCAAAAATTAAATAAATTTTAGTATTATTTTTTTATATTTTAATTTGGTCTGGTTGGTTCATGAATATGAAATAATTTTATGTTCGAGTTGGAAAAGTTGCTTTTAGTTTTTTAATTTATTTCCAATAGATATAATGTAAATTTAGTAAAAAAATTAATTTTGAAAAATATTGAATATACTTCAAAGCTTTTTCAATTTCTTATAATAATTATCCACCTCAAAAAAGACATACTTTTAAAATTTATCTTTTTTATTTTTTAAAATTTTAAACAGATGCAATAATTAATCCATATTATAAAGATTAATAAATATAATTCCATATTATAAAGATTAATAAATATAATTAGAATTTTTTTTAGGAACACTTTCCTGAATGTTAGAAATTTATGTAAGGGGTATGGAACATTACATTGTTTGACCTGAAATGAGACTGAAGATAAAAATGTCTTTGTTGGGAACTCAGCTTTTCTACAATTATTGCTCATCATGATTGATTTTTTTTTTTTAATTATTCTTTAAGATAAATATGTATTTTAATATTTGGATTTTTATTTGGATTTTAATTGTTATTCGTATTTATTTAAAATATTCATTAGTTATACTCTAAATATATGTTAATTTTTCTTATATATCTAAAATATGCAGACTAATAATATACAACTGATGGAATGTGGCTATATTCGTATTAATCATATTTAAATATTGAAGACAGGTGAGAGCATAAAATTGGCGGTTATGATGTTATAAAATCAAGTTGTTATCATTATAATAGGCTAATAAATTTTATTGTTTTGCATATCAATTGATAATCCTATGGTAACTAAAAATTACCTATATGTAATATAAAAAAATTAAAATATATTAAACTAATTTTATTTAATTATACAATTTTTATATTTACTAAGTTGTATATTGTTGTCGGAGTCGAGTATGTGGACTCCACAACGGTAGATAGAAGGGAGTAGATGGTCCGGGAATAATGAAAGGGGGTTGGGAGACCCGGTTTTGCACAGATTTCCAAAATAATTTCCTATCCAATAATTAAAAGCGAAATTGCGGCAGCCGCACCGCCATATTAGTGTGACTTTCCATTTATAGGGAATTAAGGAACTTATTTTAAATTTAATTTAAAATAAGGAACGGACTTTGAAAATTAATTTATAGTTGACTCATAATTTTATTATTTTGCAATTATATCCAATAATTAAAACCGAAATGGCACCAGCCGCACCGCCGTGTTAGTGTGACTTTTAAGGAACTTATTTCTCCGCATCTCTGGATATATGTGGCTTTCTTTTAAATTTAATTTGAAATAAGGAACAGACTTTGAAAATATATTTATTATTTTTCGGATAATCATTTATCGTCGAAATAAGAAAAGAAAATAATTACAAAAAATTTTTTATTACCTATTTATCCAAGGAAACTGTATCATCAAACATAAAATAAAATGGGGGAGGGTTGGGAGGAAATTGAAACCAACATACGACAAAATAACAAAATACTTTTGTTATAAATTAAATATGTACAAAATACGACGTGTAAATTAAACAATATACATAATTTTAAAATTATAGATAATATAAAAATTATAAATATAAAAACATCTTAACCATTTTTGATCTCTCTATTTATACGAAATTTAAAATTTATTAGTATATATAATTTACATTAGGGCATCACTGGCCTGATCCTTTGGGTGCTAATGCACCCCATTTTTAAAATATAGCACCAATTTTGAAAATGTTTTAGCAACCTAATTTTTTAAAATTAACCCTCAGTTTTTAAATGATATAAAATTTTTTATTTTATAAAATAATTCTCTATAAAATTATTTTCTATAAAATTATTCTCTGTAAAATCATTCTCTATAAAATTATTCTCTGTAAAATCATTCTCTATAAAATCATTCTCATAAAATTGTCTATGAATTTATTCTCTATAAACCACATTTTTCATAATTGTTTTCTCTAGTGTTCTCTATAAACGTCATTCCTTATATATATCTATTTATCTATAAACTACATTCTCTATAATTGTTATCTCTATAAGTGGATTCTCTATTTTTGTTTTCTCTATTATTGTTTTCTCTATTTTTGTTTTCTCTATTTTTGTTTTCTCTAATAAAGTTTCTTTGTAAAATACATTCTCTATAAAGGTTTCTCTGTAATGACGTAGAAACCTTATAGGCCCTCAAAAAAAGAGGAATACTGAGACGAATCTCATCATAAATTGTTTATAGATTAAAAAAAATTATAGACATCGTTTGTATAATAAATTAACAGCCTTATAAACCACTTTTTGCGCAAAGTAGCGACGCCCCTGAATTTAAATAATACATCTAATTTAGTCCTAATAATTCGCAAAATAATCGCGTGCAAATTATGATTCAAAAAAAAAACAAAGCATTGTAATATAAATAAAAACATTTGAATTATATAATTCTGGCAGTTATATTATAAGATTTAGGTTTTTATTTCTATTAACTTCAAGATTTCAATTTTTTTTTGTTAATTGAACCTTGCCACATGTCGACATTGGATGTCAATCTTCCGATTTTAACCTCAGTAAACATAAGATAAGTGAGAGAAAAAACCAATAAAAAATTTTGTTTTTTTGTGAAAGTAAAGTAGGTAAAGTATTACAAACACATTAAAGATATTTTATCACCAAACCAAATGAAGTGTAGTATTTGTTTATCAAAAGACAAATCACACGAAAATCCCTTAATAACCTGTTCCAATAAAGAATGCTATATAACTGTACATAAAAGTAATAATTGTATAATTTATTGTGTACAAATCTTATGAAGGTTGTTATGGGGTTTCTACAATGGATGTCAAAAGTTGGATATGCTTAAGGTGTAAAGAGTTCGGAAAACCAAAGTTACAGGTGTGAAATATTAATGTATTTATTTGATGTCTAAAAATGATAGTATTTCTTTTTGAATATTTATTCATTTTGCACTACATATCGTTGCTATTTATATTTTTTTTATGTATACACTTTTTGATTTTTTGAATATAATAGCCCATAAAGAATGACTGGGAATCAGAATTTTCTCCCTATTATTAATGGATGAATATAAATTTCATTATTTTTAAGATGAATAAATAAAAAATTTTCCTATTTTATGAGGTATGATTTAGAAATTTAATTTATATTTAGATGAGTGGTTATTCTATTCCATTATTTTTATAAAATATAGTAATGAAGCATAATTTTATATTTAAATTTATGTGCATAATAAAAAATATATTCTTGCTAGATTAGAGTTTTATGGGGCAATGTTAAATTGAAAATAAGTTATGCAAAACTCATCTGGTGAGAATATATATTTTTTAGATTATAAATAACAAATTCAAATGAATAAAAATGTATTACTATTGAATAAATGAGAAAATAAATTACCCTTTATATATATATCTTCTTAGAAATTGCCTTTATTCACTAAATAAAAAGTCTTTTTACCTACATTTTTTTTACCTTTTTATTTACAATTTATGATATAAAAAATTTATTATTACTAGGTGAGAGCTTAACATACCATATTATTTTTAGCATACTTTGTCAATTTTGGAAAAAATAATGAATAAAAACTGACATATTTTTGGAAAAAGCCTTGAAAATATTAATTCTTATAAAATTAAAAGTGACTATCAATACACATTATCAAAAATGACTAATTATATTAGAAACCTGTAGAAGTACCATTAGCATGGCCCAGCTTGGTTTTTTTTAATTTTTTTGCCCTAGCCTGTTTAAAAAAAAAATGTATTGCATTTATTTTTAATTTTTATAGCTAATAATGGTGATTTATATATGCTTTTACATAATCAAATATATAAATTTATTATTCCTCATCATTCTTGGCAGGTTATCTGCTTGTATAAATATAACTCTTTATATATATATATAAAACTATTATAATAAGACCACTATATGAAAAAATGATTAGACCACTCTATTAAAAAATGATAGATATTAGGACTGTCAGATGATTCAAATAAGTTGAGAGCCCATTCTTATTGTCCAGCAAGGAGAAAAAATGTGATTTGCCCTAATTTCTAAGATAATTAAAAGAATTTAAAATAATTCTGATTTTTGGGAACTTCAGAACTCACATTAGTCAGTATTGTTGTTCACTCCCAAAATTTTTAGATAATACATAAATAATGAATATGAATATGTAAATAGACATTTTATTGAGTATATAAATAAATTTTTTTGAAATATTATGAAATTTATATCAAAAAGATAAAAAATTATTTTCTTAATAATTTATGATTAGTTGTGAGTACATACATTTGCGGGAACCTCCAGAAAATGATTATCTTTATAATGTTATAGCCTAGTATAAGTTCCTGATAGAGAGTAAAGTAAATATTTAATATTTAGAAAATAAAGTATTATTGTATTTAAATAAAAATGTTAGCAAAGTAATTTAGTACATTAAACTATGCAGATGTTAGTAATTGATATAAAATCATAGTTTTAATAGTCAATGTGTAACTAAATGATTGAAATAATTCTATTAAATTATTCTCTATCCAGATTTCCAAATTAACAAAATTGTAAAACTATGGTTAAAATAGCGGAATTGAAAAAATCTTAATTTATATAATCGATATTAAGATTTATTAATAAAGTTAATTGTGATAAAAGCAAAATATTATATTAAAATTTTATAAATAATTACAATACACATAATAGTTCAACAAATTGTGTGCTATTGCAGTAGTCCCATATTCGATACTGGTAGATGTCAAAAAATTAACATTAAACTATATAAGCTCCTTAAATTTGAATACTTTAAAATGATAGAAAATGATCATGTTTTGATTATGGAGATTATATATATTAGATGATAATTTATTTTTATAATATATTTAGTAACTAAAATTAAAAGTGATACATCACATGATAATGATAACCATCTTATTATGGGATTTTTTTTATTCATACATGATTCAATTTATTGGAATGACAAACAAAGAAATTTTTGAATTCAAAATCAAATTTGCTGAAATTAGCATCATATATATAATTTTTTATACTTATTTTCATATATTTTATATGTTTTTATGATCAATTTATAATAAAAATTATTATGTCGAGTATTAACAATAATGATATCAAAACTATTTATCAGATATCTGCAGAAGTACCATTTGCATGGCCTGGCCCAGATTTTTTTTCAAAATATTTTTTTGGCCCAACCCGGGTTTTATATTTTCAGGCCTGCATCAGATTTTTTTAAAATATATTATATTTATTTTTGATTTTTATAGCTAATGCCCATTTCAAAAATATGGCCCTGTCCAGATATTTTTTTAATGTTCAGGCCCAGCCTGGCACAGGTATATTTAAAAAATTAAATAGTGCCATTTATTATAAACAATATTTATTAGAGCTCTCAAGCGATTGCTGGAACTGAGGTTGAATTTTGGAAGAGGGCAATCCTCATATGAATTAAATTGTAAACCTTAATTGCTTTTAATTTCAATAATAATATTATGTAAAAAGCCATCTGCCTTAACTATTCTTACAATATTACTAACATAGTCGCTGAGATATTATATGAGTGCCTAAATTTGGCACTCATATTTCTAAAATATCTCTCTACTGATACTCTAGCAATAGATAATTTTTTAGCTAAATTTGTTTTATCTTCATTTAAATTTGGGGATAAGCTTTCCAACAATACATATGGAAATAATAGTTCTGTTAGAGGTAAAAAAAAATATGGATTGATATTTTGATTATTTTATTGATTATTCCTTCATAAAATAGGTCTTTTGTAAAAATACTTCTATCTGAAATAGATTCAGGGCCAACATCAATTACATGAATCTAGCAAATAATAAAATTAGAAATATATAATAACCTTGCTCTGTGATCTGAAACAGTTAGAATGAAATTATATTCTATAATTAAAAAAATGAAGCTCCACTTTTTCAGGCTGTTTCTTACATGCTTTCTCAATAAAAACTATTATATGAGAAAAATATGATTTCCTGTACGGATATTTCAAGCATCCGTTAAATTGTTGGTAAACTGAGATGCTTGGGTTGAAGACTTACCCATAATAACCTACTGTTAATATTACAAACCTTTGCAAATAAAGCTATTTTTCTGAATCTCACCCCTGTTGTTAAATATCTAAAAGTATTTTAAGATTATTTATAAACAAATTATATTCCTACATGAGTGTTTATAAAGCCGATTCTTCATGCTGATAGAGTTTTTATATTTGACTATCTAAGGGTCATTTTCTTTCATATTTGTAAGAATTTAATTGAATTTTATCATATGCATGTGGAAAGTCTGACCAAATTTATTGGGATAAGAAGGGTTAGTTTTAATTTTGATAATATTCTAATTATCGTATATACTGGTCTTCCAAAAATCTATGCCTTTTTCTACGTTAGTCGTATCATCAAATAATATAAAATATAGAATTAATAAATTATTCTCATCAAACATTTTGAAAATTTAATGGAAGATTTAGGATATGTTTAGTATCTCTCAAAACTCAATAAAGTTGTGCAATTTCATAAAACTTTTAAGTAGTTTTTCATTTATTTAGGACACAGCCTAATAAACTAATACATTTTGCCTATTTCTTTCCATTTGATCTTGCTTGCTGCCATATCTATAAATTTTAAGTCATTATTACACCTAAAAAACGATATATTCTGATGTTTTCATAAGATCATATTTATGAATAAATTCTTACGATTCGTTTTTAGAATCACAAAACTTTCCCGAATTAGGAAAAGTCATTTAGGTCAATTTTAATTTTACATTAAAAATGGCTTATATTTCTTTTTATCGATAAATTCACACCGCGAGATTTAATTCTTTTTATATGACATTAGCCTAAGAAAGAATTATTGGATGTTAATAAAACATTCATTAAAATAATATGGTGTATTAAAAAGTGTAATTAAGAAGCATTTATAAATTTACAATGTGAAAATTAATCTTCTTTAGGATTGAGTTAATTTTCCTATACCATATCAATATTAAGAAGGGCTATGATACTTTTTTATTCTACTTAAAGTTGAAAATGTTCTTTCATTGTACAAATACTAATGGGTAGTGTTATTAAAATATACGATTTTAATATATTCGGAAAATAATCCAAATTATATTTAAAATTTTGTAAAACATCTTTAGCATTCTTCGGTACTTTGCCAACTATCGTTTACCTTTTATACCATAGATTGCATTCAGCTAGGATCATGAGTTACTTTGACATCCTCACACTACTATCAAAATTTGAAATGGATAGGGAAAGATTCTGCGGAAATAATATTTATATTTGTAAGTGCGACCTGATGAATTAAAAACATTTCTTTCATTTGAGTGATAATATCCAAGAAAGGAATAAAAAGATTAATTTTATAGTAATCTTCGACCGACCCTATATTAATATTGAATCGATGAGCTCGCCTTGTTGCAAATCGAAGTAAACAATTATTGAATTCATGGAGTTCTGGCTTTGACTCAACAATGACATATATATCAAATTCTTCACCTACATTTGTATTAATTTCCTTAAGTTCCAATATAATACTTTGAGCGAATATCATAGTTTCAATCAAATCAATGCCATTTCTTTCCTAATATATTCCATAAAATAATCGTGTCAAATAATCTATCTTTTTCTGAAGAAATATTTTTTTTTAGGTCATTGTGTTATTTCAGTAAGAGCATTTCTAACTCCAAAAAGCCGTTACTGCTTGATAGCGAAGGCTCCGTATTGTTGGACATGCTTTTTGTCAGATATAATTCTATTTATTATGTTTTGTCTATTGGGATATCTAAACATCTTTGCCTGATGTAATTGAGAATTTTAATAAAAATAAATAAAATTATACCTAAATATTTGATAACAATGGTAGAGAACATGAATCAGAAATTGCCAAGGTCAGGGAATGAGCAGCGTTTTACATATATTGCCTTTCGACATTTTCTTCTTATAAAGGCCTGACCCATTAATTGCCCACTATTTGTATGGACTTATACCCTTGTCAAGATGACTAAGAATCTGATTTCATCAATACTGGTTAAAATATGTCCTTATATCAATTCTTTAAATAAATTTTATACCTTAAATATTAATTTTTTGAAATATCTTACTTAATCTTGCAGTTAAAAAGTTTCAAATGATTTAGGGAAATTTTAAAATAAAAATTGGAAATCGATATTAATCCATAAAATAAATTAGTATCGTATTTGTTTGTGCCGTGAATGTGATAAATAAATATAAATAGAAATATATATGCAATAATATATCTGATTTTTTTTAGCCGACATCAGAATTCTGACCTGGAAAGGGGTGGAAGTGGGATTTAAATATTTTTGAAATTTCTTCTGGTAACTGAATTTTGGCTTTAGAGATTTGTTCCCCTACCTTCTTCCCCCCCCCCCCGCTGTATACGCGCATCGACTGAGGGATCTAAAGAAAAATTTTTATTGTACAGCTTAATACTTTTTAATCAAATAATGTTCAACATCGCAGTTAATAAATGATGTTTATTTGTTATAATTTATACCAAACCGATATTCGTTTCGATTTGGAATCCCTGCTTTATTTCAATATAAATTATATCTTTTTTCGCGTTTTTTTATATCCCTAGCCATTACTTACATTTTTAGTTATTTTTTTTGAAAAAATATAATTAGTTTGGTAACTTTTAACAACACTATATAAAATATATATTTCTCACTCAATTAATATAATCATGTTCACTAACTTTGTTTTATGCACTCAGGTTTGTCAACTATGTCCAAACACCGAAGGGCCCATGAAACCATCCACAAAATCAGGTTTTTAACAATATTATAAAATTATGCCATAAAATAATTTACAATAAAAAATTTATATAATATAGGATGGGCTCACATTATTTGTACTTTATACCTACCCAAAGCCTACTTCATCAAACCCGAAAATTTAGAAAAGATTTCCTTTTCTGAAAAAATGACCTCTAAACCGTGTGTCATATGCTCACAAAGAGGCAAGACACAAGAAAGCCTCCTGGGTGAGAGGATAAAGTGTGGCCACGAAGGGTGCAAAACATCCTATCACATTACATGGTTTGAATTTATACATTATGCATAGAACTGAACTCCTTTTATTTTAATCTAATCGAGTATTATTTATTATATTATATTTTACTTACAATAATGATCTGCATTATGCCTAGTGTTGTTAAAAAAACCCGATATGGATCGATTTTTCAAAACAACTCGATTAAGATTTTAGCTAAAATAACATTATGTAATCATCGAGATTTGGCAGATGTCCAAACATTTCTGCCAGCTATGAGAAAAATCTATAGGCATACATAATATTATTTTAGTTTTCATTTGATCGAGCCGTTTTTTAAAATCGACCTGAAACGGGTTATTTAACAACAATAATTGAGCCTAATTTATCAAATCCGGCCCGATCCCGAACTTATTTTTTTATTATTTTTCCCAAAAAGCTCGATACGGAATAAAAATTATTTGTCGTCCCATCCCAATTTTATTTAAATACAGAAAAAATTTATATATTTATTTTAATTAGAAAAAAAAAATATTCTACAAATTAAAAATATCAGCGCCTTGTTTCTCGCAAGAATTTTATATCAATTCCATTAATACTTTTTTGCAAATATATATATATATTTTTATAGTGCTTTGAAAGTGAATTTGTTATGCAGTGAAGAGCATTTAAAATACATAAAGCATGATGAATCTCCCTCCAATTCTGCCAAAGAGGAAGCGAAAATGACTTACACGAGTTACAAGTGTTATTGTGACAATCATTTTCCGAAGGTTGGTTTATCTTTACTTTTACCGCACCCTTATTTAATAAATACATTACAAATGGTGTATATGTTATCGGCAATGTGTTATTTTTTAAATCATTTTTTGAGCATCTTTTTTTTAAACTTAAAAACCTGATTTTACCGGAGATGTATTAGACAATTTTGCCGTTGACCTTTGAGTCATTTATAATTTATAAAAAATATCTATGGAAAACCTAAAATTATATTAAACTTATAAATTCATGTAAAAATTGTAGGGTAGCTTAGAGGTCTGCATTGGGCGAGTTTTCTAAAATATATTCATCATTGGATGAGCTCCTGACTGGTTAAAAAATTTTAAGTGATGGGCAGGCATGGGCGGATAAATTTTTGATATTTTTCAGGCGAAATGAGCAGAACAGACTTCGATAAGTGGGCTGGCCGGCAGGTTAAATATATTTCAAAACAAAGAGGGGCGGACTTTTTAGCTAAAAACCCACCCACTGCAGACCTCTGGGGTAGCTATTCCATAGATCATGGAATGCATTCCCGGTAAAATCAGATTTTTAAGCATGTTAGCATCATTGTGTTTTTTTCCGTCGATATGTTATTTTTTCAACTTCAGATCATTTTTTTGAGCGCGCTCTTTTAAATTTAAAAATCTGATTTTATTGATAATATATTCCATCATGTTATGAATTATAGACAATTTAGCCTGTTTGCCAACATTTAGATACTTACAAAATAATCAAACATTTTTTTTCAAATACAATCTGATTCTTATACTGTCTATTCCTTTATTTTCTTTTTTTTTACGACTCACCTTATTTTTATACATAATTCTAAATTTTTTAAAATTTTGATTTCATATCAAAAAAATTTTTAATGCATAAAAATGATAAAAGATTTACTTACGGCTAAGTTCAAAATATCAAAAAATTTGACATACGACATCATTAAAATTTTAAAACTTCTGACAGTTTTAAAACAATTCTTGACATTTTTAGGTAAAATTTGATCAAAATTTTCTTCAAAAAAAAAATTTAAAAGATTTTTTAAAAGATTTTTTTGCTTAAATTTTTTTTTTGATAATATTTTTTATTCCTCTCTTATCTTATTTATTATGAAAGCATTTTGTAAATCATACAAATCAAATTAATAATTATTACTTATATGACTTATATCTTCAGCCAAAATTTTTCTAAAAATGTCCCTTATATTTTTAAATAGGAAATTCACTGTAATAATAGAAATAAATAATTATTCTAAATGATATATTATTAATATTACAGTATATTGAAGAATTGATTTATCGAAAAAATATGCATTTTCCGAAAATGTGGTTACAGAGTATTTTATCAATCGATGATATTTCATAGGGTTTTAGGGGTATAGACAGATCCACTTAAAGCATTTATAGCTCTCATTTTATTTTGAAATTTATTTTGAGCAAACTTTACTTTGAAATGAAATTATATTCAAGAAAATGAATTTCAGACAATTTTGCCTTAAAATTTTGAATCAATTTCAATTCAAAACGTTTTAAAATAAAATAAAATAAAAGGAATTGTATAATTAATTTTGCTCAAAAGCCAAAAATGTAATAATATTTTAATGATTTAAATGCACTAATCTGCTTAAAATGATATTATTGGTAATACTTACTATATAGTACAATATTTATAACATATTAGAATAATGGCAAAGAACCCTACACCCCCTTTCACTCTCCTCCTAATCTGAATAGCCTGATATACAAGATCCCTTTCCACAAGCTTGATGAACGATTTAAAGACAAATATTCATCTATTAAGACCCATTTCTACCCCCATCTCACCCCCAAGCCTCATAATACTACCCCTTCTTCCGCCGACAAAACTACGATATGTGAAACCTCCAAAAACGAGCAAAAGAGCCACCAATCAGCGCAACACCGAGGCGTTGATTCTGTTGCCGCCACCAACAAGGATGGTGTACTACATTCAAGTTACAAAATACCCAAACGGAAGCACAGATCTCCATCTCCCGCTACTGCATCCACGTCATCGAAATCACATGGTCATCAAGAGAGCAAATCGTCTATAATTAAATCATCATCGGATAAGGTGGAGGATGAATCCCACATCCGTACGAAAAATAAGAAGTTGGAGAAAGAATCAAACACTTCGGTATTTTAAAATTATTTGTTTTAAACACTAACTAAATGAACGCGGCTAATTTCGAATATTATATCTCAACACGGCTAGTTTAGTTTAAATTAAAAATTTTCACGACTTTCCTAACAAGGCCGGTTTGTTTTTCCTATACGGTAATCGTGAAATATTTTTCCACTTTTTAAATTTATTTCCAAACAACACGGTTTTTTAAAAAAAAATTTTTTTTAACTGACTACGAAATATTTTATCATGAGAAGATATTACAAAAAAATGAAAAAGAAATTGTTCCCTTAGTTTTAGTAGTTCTCCTCTAAACAAAGTTAATCAGATTCGAGATTAAATGATTAATTTTTAAACTAAATGAAGACCGGCCCGAAACTCAGCCCACTTAAAAATAAAAGTGAAAACCCCACATCGGACAGCCTAAAAATATATATAATTTTTTTTTTATATATTATGGGTGAGACGATTTTTAAAAAATTATCTGTTGGAAAAGTGTAATGGAACATTTAATGTTTATTCACTGCTCATATATTTTCAATCTCCCTTGAAAAGATTTGCAAATTACAACTAAAATTAAATAATGATATGTTAAAAATTCAAGACTGGGCTGTTAAATAATCAAAAATAAATCTTTTCACCAATATCCGGACCGGAAGCTTAAAAATGGATCTTTTAAATTTCGGGCTTTAACCTGGTCTAAAATTTTGGTCTCTGCAAATATTTGATATAAACATTTTAAAATAAATATAATATTCATTTTCCATGGATATTTATGATATATCAAAATTATAAAAACGATATATAATTTTCCTGTGAAATACGTTGTTTTCAGAAGCATTTTACTTGTTTTTTTTACCTAATTGGGAACTCATTCTTGTTAGCTAAGGGATTGAATGTTCCAATGATCCAAAGTTAAATATGAATTGACTAAGAATGATGATTAAACCTAAGAAAGAAAAGCATTGTCATCAATCGACTTGAGTAATTTCCAAAAGAATCTATATTCCCTTTATTCTTAGGCCAATCAATTATTTTTTGATCACTAGACAATATAAATGTATATAACCAAACAATGAATAAATGTACATATCTTATGTTTTATAATGGAAATAGAGCCCATCCAAAGGTGATAAAAAATGTTCGAACAAAACTGCTGATGGAATGAAAGAAGGTCACAACAAAAAATTAAAACTAACCCACGATTCAAAAGGTATTCGTTATTGTGCATTAGTTTAAAAAAAATATATTTACAAAACACACATATTTTAAAAAAATTTACCATCGAACGCGTTTAAATTGGCCTTAAGCCTTGTCAAGTTTGGGCCTAATTTTTCAAAAAAAGAAAACATTTTCTCTTCTTTTGTAAAAACTTTATGATAATTAGAATTTTTCTATGATTAGGGCAAAGCAATAAGGGGTATTTCGTGTTAAATCAAATATATAAAACGAGATTTTCAGACGACCATCTCTTAAAATGAACGAAACTTGGCATGATAATTATCTATGTTGTATATTTTAGTAAAATAAAAATTTTTAGAGTGCTAGCTCAACCTAATTTAATGATATACATCTTTAAAGTCGAAAATCGCAATGCCTGATTTCATTAAATTAATTTTTTTTCATAAAAATCCTCAGGATAGAATTGCAAATTATATATCGTTCTTTAGCCCTTAAAATCTACATTTGAAAATTTCAAAAAAATTTAAAGTGTTTTCTTAATTCCGGTAAATATAAAAAATTAACATGAAGTCGGACATTTAAAGGCATTTAGATGAAATGACTTTCAATAGCGTCTGCTACAACCAATGACATTGATTGTAGTTGATTTCAATATATATTCATACTTTTAATAAATGAATCAACAGTTTAGGTTAGTATCAATGTAATTGAATAATTTTAAGAACAAATATTAAACAAAAATAAATAGCAAAACCGCAAATGAGCATCTCAAATTTTTTTTTCTAAGTTTTGATCCTAATTTCCCTCTTTTTTTTCCAAACCAGTATCGAAGCCTAACCCCCAAAACCTTTCTGATCCCTCATATAAACTGCTTTGGGGGATTTATTTATTTGATAAAAAATAATAATAGGAAAGGATAAATAAAATCTTAATATAATGTAATCAATATTATAATTAAATATACAAAGTCCCTGGAGTGCATTAAATATTTAATATTTCTATAAATATATGAAGTAAGGATTATGTTTTCAGAATTATTAAATCCAAACCTGAATCCTCACTGAACCCAAGAATTTTATCGGTTACCCAGAACCCTGGTTTTTTTTATTTATGGTAACATTTTATAGGTGGATTTCCTCAGAATAATTTTTTTTTTAAAGTAATGGTTTATTTTAAATAACCGATTTTTCGAAATTGCTTCTTTAACTAGCTCAATATAAATAAAACGAAATATATTTTCAAAGAGAATACTGGTATTAGAGTTTATTCTCTGACTCATTTATGCTTAAAAAAAACTATATTTATTCTAGAAAATGATACCTATCCTACCAATAAGAACCAATCGCCCTCGCCCGCTAAATTATCAACACCTTTAAAGATCGAACCGCAGAATACTCTCTCCCAAGTTGGTAGCAATATAACCATAAGCACGGCATACTTTCTGCCTTCTTCTCACGGCATGGAAATACCATTCACAAGATCACACATTAAGCAACAAAACGTTAAGACCCCAAAATGGTTGACAGAAGCGAAAGCTGGAGAAAGTGCCAATGCAGATAAAGAGAATAACAATAAAGATAAAGAAAACTCGATCAAATTTACCCCTCTTAGTACTACCCAGGAATCAGATACTTCTTCAAGCTTTTTTGAAGGCGTGAGTTCTATTCTTTATGTTGCATTGTAAATCTATATAGTAATTATTTACGAAAAAAACATATGACTTAAAAAAATCCTCTCTTTAGAAATGGGATAACAATGTTAATAATACATGTTATACAAATGAAGTCAATCCCTCCCTATCTAAATCCAAAAATATTATATCCATTATATTATATTTATTGACCACCCTTCTTCTATTATTGGCCAAAAATAACAACCCCAGTTTTTGAAAATCTAACGGAAAAAATTTCTAAAGGTATAGGAAATAAAAAAAAAGAAGTATATATTATTATTATTTTTACGAACTAATATAACATTAAAAGAGATTAAATAATATTGTATTACAAATATCACAAAAGATTTCCCCAGTAATAACATTATCCAAAGCTTCTTTACCTACAGTGCCAGCTACCAAGGTCGAAGACTCGATCTTACAAGAATCTGAGAGTGACAATAAAGATGAACCATCTGCAATCAATGATGCCCATATTGTTACCAAAGCTGAGGAAGGGACGGAAGAAGATATCAGTTCGTATTTCGCCAAGTATAAACGGTTTAAAAATGGGCCCAACAATAGGGATGGCGAAAATAAGGATGATAAGACTATCACTAGCCCTAGTCTAACTACAGCTTCCTTGACTACTTACCCCTACGAAATAACGACGATAGAAGAAGACGATAAAAATGAAACGTTAGTTGTACTTGAAGTGCATAGTAGTGTCGTAATGGACACTCAAAAGATAGTTACCAAACCTGAATTGAAAGACGATGCAATTTTCGAAGTTGGTCAAACGGAAAGGCAAAGAGAAGTCGTTGAAGATATAAAAGTTGGCCAAGAAAACGCTGGTAATCATGAAACAAAAATTGTGAATAAACATAATAAACTAGAACTACCAGTCAAAGTTTTGACTAAAAGGCGTTTATCGGAGTCTAACAATAATCCGTCATCTTCTTTAACGGTGACCACCATTGATGATATTTTACTAAAAACCAATTCTATAAGGGCTAAAAAAATCTTCGATAAGATTGATGATAAAATTATGGACAAAAAAGTTAGAATCTCGGAAAATACGGAACCGGCCGTAAATAAGGCTGAAAATTGTAAAATTTTGACGAGCTCCAATGAGAGTATGGTAAAAAATGAAGCAACACTTAAAGTGGAAAATGCAGTAAAAACTGAGCATATCAAAGAAATGGGGGATACAAAGAATCATTTGTATACAACAGCGAGTGATCTTGGTATTATGAAATCCGAACCCCATATTATTACAACAACCCATAATGATAAAAACGATTTGAATCTCATGTCAAGTAACACTCAATCCCAACTCACACCTCTACTTGAGAAGGAAGGAAATGTATCAGATTCAACGAATGTTATCAGTAAAACATCTTCCCTATCAAAAACAAATTCTAAATATAGTATCGAAGATAATTTAGAAGCGCTTACCAAGCTTAAGGCCATTCCAATCAGCAAATTTCAATTATCATCTAACCATCAGTTAAATGCAAATATTTCGTCAGAATACAGTGTCGAAAGATGCGAAAAAACATCAGTGTTTGAGAAAGATAAGATTAAATCCCAAACACCATTAACTAATACGCTTATACCTAGACCATCTTTGCACAGTGATATAGCTTTACACCCAAGCACCCCTTTCTTGAATATGATGGCAGGAGGTAAAGAACTTTACCAGGCTTCACAGCAGTTGCTTAATAGATCTAACATAAATCATCACCCTTTTATTCCACTCAATTCTGCTGCTGGCTTGATGTTTGATAATCTGCCTTTCATGTATCACTTGCAACACAATATGCCCCCATTATTAGGCAATAAAGCTTCCACCTCCACAAATCTGCCAGCTTATTACAACAGTAACAATCCCTCAATTAACACCCCGAATACTAATAATAGTATCTCCATAATGGATACATTTGGCTCTCGTATAGATGATAATAACATAAATAATCAACTTCCCAAACAATCTAACAACCCTGATTTAAGCAATAACATGTTTGGCGGACCTATGTTTCCCCCTGGACAGAACCCTTACTTTGATCCAAGTAGCTTGTATCTTTCTTGGGCCGCTGCTAATGCCACTTATTTTAACCACCCACATCATTCGCCTATATTTCCACCTCCGCCGCCATCTCATCACGCTTCTAACTTACTATTTGGAACCAATAATCAACACTTTTTTCCCCACCCCAATCCAGCGACTTTGAAACATAACGGTACATTATTGAGGCCAAATATTATACAATATATAAAACTTTTTAATAAGTTAAAATATTTCATTTTATAATTTATTTAGTAGTAAATGGCCTAAAAACTTAATTGGAGTTTTAACTCAGGCTTATTAATTTAAAAAATGAAGAATAATATATTAAGTGGAACTTTTAGAAACTAATCCATACTTATTGACATAGTTGTTAAAGGATTGAAATCAAAGGATTCACAATTTTGGATTCGTTCTTAATATTTGCAATTTACCCTGATTTATGATTTCCTCTTAAATTTAGGATCGTGATCAAGACTATTTTGTTAATTATTCGATCCTTTTAAAAAAAATTTTTTACCTAAAAGTTTAAAATAAAATAAAAAATTTTAAATAAAATATTATTATTTTTTAAATATCTATCTCCATCATATCTTAGCATCCTCTACCATATTTTATATTTTTTCTCATAAATTTTATTATGACAACATTTACGAATTTGATATACAACCTAAAGTTTTTTATTGAATTAAAAATAAAATATTATTTGTATATTTTTACTAATGCCTATTATAGATCTAGAAGAAAATGCACATATAGTTATTGAAGTTACAGATAGAGATAGAACTTTTTACCTTTTCCTCAGCTCCGATAATAATGTTAATTATCATTTCTTAAAATATAAATTTCCTTCACTCTGTTAGGAGAGTAGATATTAGCAAAAATAATTCACCCATAGTTTAAGCTTACTTGACCTCATCAATCTACCAAAATATGTTGGTAGGTTAATTACCTATTTAGAAAACTTGCAGGATCAAATACACGCAGACGCTTATTTAAATGAATTGTAAAACTGATATTTTCTTTAGAAAAACTTCCTTCACAAAATGCGCATTTTTTATTTATTTAAATGATGATTTAATTAATATTTTATTTACTGATTAACACATTTGCTCTCAAGCTTTAGTAAATCTAAATATGTTCTTTATAAAGACTCGGAAGTTGAATGATAATAATTTATAAATCCTTTTTAATATTTAATTGCTAATTTTGATTATAAATAAATATATTAATATTGTTATATTATTCAATTACGATAAATTTACACTCTTAATTTAATTTATTTTTATATACTAGTTAATTGTGCATAGTTAGACCTGTGCGCCGATGTCTCAATTGACTGCGGCGGTTTTTTTTAAATATTTTATCGGCGTTCGGCGGCGCGCCGATTTCCCCGCCGCCTACTAAATTGTCGGCGGCGGCGGCGCGATATTTATTTAAAAATTTTTTTTAATAAATTTAATTTATAAATCAATGTATTACATTTTTTTATAATTTGGCGCTCTTTTCTAACACATTGTTAACATAGTTTATTTCTTAAATTATTTCCTGTCTCACTTCAATTTAAATTCATGTATTTTCTCATTCTCAGAAATAGACTAAGGAATTGCATTATCACTCAGATCAGAGTCACATAAACAACACATATTTAGACCTGTGCGCCGCCGGCAATTTTATTCACGCCGGAACAGCCGCCGATTGAGATCAGCGGTGTAAGCCGGCTAGCCGCCGATTTTTCTTATGGCGGCGGCGCGGCGTGTATAATATTTAGAATGTTGTTTAATTATATTTATATATTAAATTATTATTATTTAAATTTGAATATTAACATTAATATAATAAAACATGAATTGTATTCTATTGCTTTATATAATAGAATAGTGTATATCATTTACATTCATTCATACACCATATTCATTTCGGCTATATTAATTATTTTTATGGATTTGCGCGTTTTAAACCACCCTATATACAATTATGAAATAACAACTCTCTCTACTAATCAAAAATCAAGTTATGTGTGGAAGTACTTTGGAAATCTTATTTTGAAGAATGAGAATAAGAAAAGCACGATAAGAGGATGCATTAACCTTTTGGAAGAAAAAGCAACTGGAACTTCCTAGGCTTGCTAATTTAGCTAGGAAGGTTCTTTGTATACCTGCAACCAGTACATCCAGCGAAAGAATTTTTTCCATTGCTGGATTAATACTCAATGCAAAAAGGACTTTTTAATGTCCCACCAATCTTGATAAAATTCTATTTATTCATGATATTTATAATTTAGCTAAATCTTAGATTCGTTGGTGTAATGACATTTCTATTATCCGCTTCGTTATCAAAATGGTCATCAAGGTATGGATCAGAATCATCAATATCCAAGATATGACCTGTCTCATAAATTGACTGGAGACATTTAAGATGCTCATCTTCAATTTCACATTCCAAATCAGCTACTCGATATCTGAGGGCTGAAATAATTTCTCTAATATTTTTTAAGGAGATTATCAATTCTGGCAACTTTTTATTATGCCATCAACTGTAACCAAATTATGTAGTCCATGGCCTAAGCATAAATGATGCTCATAATCCCCCAATCTGACGCTTCTTTTGACATTTGCCACTGCATCAGTTACCATTTGTATTATTTTGGCTTTTAAATGAAACTCCTCTTCGATACCATCAATCTCCGATAATATGGTTTCCCCAATATGCTTTTGAGTCACATTTCAAGTTGCCAGGGTAAAATATTTTAAATCAAAATTTTCATCTAAATAATGAAGACTAAATGTAATATAATTTCGCCGCTTGAAATGATCGGTCCATAAATCAAAAGTAATGGAACAGAATTTTGGACCAGCATCAATCAGATTTAAAACATGTGCCTTTATAGAACAATAAACATCATCAAGTGCTCCCCGACTAATAGTTGTCCTATTAGGCAATTCTGATGAGGAATCAATTATCTTATATTTCTATTTTTTTAGGCAATTTATTTTTTAATAATCATTTTGTTTAAATTTTAAACCTTTAGAAAATCTGTCATCCCATTATTGCTTATAGAATCAAATGGCAATAAATCTAAGCAGCACATCAAAACATAATTTCGCCCTATTAGAAAAAAGATATTTAAAAAAGAGAAACAAATAAAAAATTTGATTTAGTTATGAACTTTCAAAATAAAGTTTTACATAATTTAATAAAATATATTTTTAGTTTATTCATTAAAAAGATCTCAAAATAGAGCTGACAATAAACAAACTAAAAATTTAGTTGTTTTAAAGTTTTACATAATTATTTTAATAAATATAAATTATACATTAAGTTTATGCATTAAAAGGATCTCAAAATAGAGCTGACAATTAAACTAAAAAATTAGTTGTTTTAAATAATTATTTTAATAAATTATATATTAAGTTTGTTCATTAAAAAGTTCTCAAAATAGAGCTGACAATAAATCAACTAAAAATTTAGTTGTTTTAAAGTTTTACATAATTATTTTAATAAATTTAAATTATATATTAAGTTTATACATTAAAAGGATCTCAAAGTAGTGCTGACAATAAACAAACTAAAAATTTAGTTGTTTTAAAGTTTTACATAATTATTTTAATAAATTTAAATTATGTACTAAAAGGATCTCAAAATAGAGCTGACAATAAACAAACTAAAAATTTAGTTGTTTTAAAGTTTTACATAATTATTTTAATAAATTATATATTAAGTTTATACATTAAAAAGATCTCAAAATAGAGCTGACAATAAACAAACTAAAAATTTAGTTGTTTTAAAGTTTTACATAATTATTTTATTAATTTAAATTATACATAAGTTTATGCATTGGATCTCAAAATAGAGCTGACAATAAACAAAGTAAAAATTTAGTTGTTTTAAAGTTTTACATAATTATTTTAATAAATTATATATAAAGTTTGTACATTAAAAAGTTCTCAAAATAAGAGCTGAACAAACTAAAAAATTTGTTTTGAACAAATAGAGCTTAATAAAATTAATTTAACAAACCAGTTAAAAATTGAAAATGCATATTAATAAACATTAATACTAACCTAAGAGCCATTTTTTATCTTTTATATTCTTGCTACATGTTGGCGTTGACTTTAGAAACATTTTTAGAGTTTGAATGGATTTATTATTATTAGTTTTTTCTGATATTTTATAGCACATTAAGTAAGTGACGAGAAAGGTTACTCGTACTTATATTTTTGCTATAACATTTGATATCATAACTAAAATATAAATTTATATATATATAAGTCTAAAATTAAAATAAATTACTGTGAAAATGGATTATTTTTATCCGAATCTTCCTCATCTTTTTTCCCCAATTTTAAACAAGGTTCACAATAAATATAATCAGGCATTATCGTGCTTTTCTTATTCTCATTCTTCAAAATAAGATTTCCAAAGTACTTCCACACATAACTTGATTTTTGATTAGTAGAGAGAGTTGTTATTTCATAATTGTATATAGGGTGGTTTAAAACGCGCAAATCCATAAAAATAATTAATATAGCCGAAATGAATATGGTGTATGAATGAATGTAAATGATATACACTATTCTATTATATAAAGCAATAGAATACAATTCATGTTTTATTATATTAATGTTAATATTCAAATTTAAATAATAATAATTTAATATATAAATATAATTAAACAACATTCTAAATATTATACACGCCGCGCCGCCGCCATAAGAAAAATCGGCGGCTAGCCGGCTTACGCCGCTGATCTCAATCGGCGGCTGTTCCGGCGTGAATAAAATTGCCGGCGGCGCACAGGTCTATGCATAGTGCATAAATTTTTTTCAGAAATTTATAAAATAAGAAAAGGAACACGATTGCAACTTTTTTCTTAAAAAAAAGTCGGTCCTGGATTTTAATCCCCCTTTTTTAAAAAAGATCCTTTTAAAAGGATCGACTAACAAACCTGCTTATAAAATTTGCCATATATCGTTAAATAATTTAGGATATTTATTTTTCCATTAATTTTATATGATTATATTTACACTAATATGTGTTATTTTCATACATACAACAGCTATCAATAGTAACAACCCTACATGCAAGGTGTTGCAGCATATGGATAATTTCGGTTCCTTTTCTCCCTCCCATGTATTTTCTTCTGTTCTTCAGCCTGAGACGTCAGTTGATATTAAACAGCCACAAATGCAAAGGAGTGAAACCAAAATGATGGATGAAAAGGTCAGAAAAACTAATAACGATGAAAAAGTTCCCAATAAGTCAAGGGGCCGAAAAAAATTGGATGTCTTGACTAATCATGAATCGAATCCATCCACATTGCATCTCAGTGGTGCTGTTCCAAAAATCGTTTCTAAAATTGGTTTGAAATCCATTAACCTCGAAACGCATATTATTAATAAGAAAAATACGATTGTTGGCCCTGCGGTGCTAGTGGGAAATCAACTCAGCGAAAGTAATCAGTTTGCAACATCATTATCCTCTAAAAAGCTAGGCGATACAAGTACTACCCCATTGAAGAAAACTAATACAAAGATGATTTCCAATCCGATGCAAATTACCGAAATCAAATCTATTGTTGACAAAGACGTTAAATCTTCTTGTCATAATCAAGACTTAGCCAACCCACCTCCCCCTAGGAAGCAATTGACTCCTCAGCTAGAAGTAATCAAGGAATCGAGATGCAGCAATACGACCTTCAAGAATGAGGAGGAATTCGGGAAATATATCGTTTCCGGTTCGAATTTAAATTTTCCAGTTAAAGAAAGGAATGAACACCGATCTTTGGCAGGCAAGGACAAGGTTGCTAATTATAATAATAACCAAGTGCTGGCGGGAGAAAGTGATAATAGTACGGTTAGTATCGAGGATCCCGAAGAGGCCAATGGCAACACATACTCGCTGAAGACTGTGACGACTCAGTCCCCTCTACCGAAGTCCAAACAGGTTTATAGCTATATGATGTATAAAATTGTTGCGAGGAAGGAAGGTAGGAAGAAGATATAATTAGAAATGTGAATGAATTAAAAGAAATAAGAGAGGGAAGAAAGATTTTTTATAATAAAAAAAAAATTTATCCAAAAATATGTTCTAGAACGAGTTAGAAAATAGTTTGAACAAGATTTTGTTGAGTAAAGAGGATAATAGCGATATCAAGTCCACCAACAACTCTGATTGGAATTTGCACACGTTCTCCAATCAATTACATCATTTTAATTCCAGGTAAATATATAAACATTATATACATCAACCTCCTCATCGAATTTGGAGTTTTTATCTAAAGGATCGATATTAATTATTAGAAAAAAAATGTTTGTCTGACTTCATAATATAAGAACTATAAATTAATCATGAGCATCATTGACTCTTCATTTAGAAATGTTCAAAAAAAAGATTTAACACTCAAATTGAGAATATTCTGCTTATGACCACTCCACCCCATTGTGGGCCGGTGGCTTTAAAAATTATCTATATTCATTCCATATTCTTTGTACGAGCTCGGGTTTGGTGTATATCGCTAATTTACATATGTGTCCTTTTCAAACACCAAATGGCCTCTTGCGGAAACGTAATTTCCTTAAAGATATGAACCTAAAAGCAAGGCGAGCTGAAACGTTATACCTCCACTTATTTAATAGTATCTGAGCCCATAAAAAGGGAACTAACAGTTCCGGGCTATAAATTTATATCAATAAAGGATATTTATCACAATATTTGCCCTTTCCCATTTTTCTCGAGGATTTTATATTATTACTTGGGAATAATGATAAGTTTTTGCATAACTTTCTGCTTACTTTTTAAATATAATATAAAAGGGTTAACATTCTATCAGCAAAATCATATTCATACCAAACAATACCTTATAATATTGGATTAATCATAAATGAGGGGAATTAATTCATATTCTAAAAAATAATGCTTTGACACTCACAATTTTTTGATAGTTTATAGTAGAATATTATAATTTAAGTTATTCATTTTAAAAGAGAATAAGGCATTTCCATTACAATTAAAAATTTTATAATTAACAACGCAGGAATGTCGCCAGAGGCGACGGGAATTTTTTTTAGGGGGTAGGTATTGGTTTTTAAGGTGGGTTTGCTTCCAATGAATATTCTGTGATGTGGACCCTGCCTTACAGTCTCAGTCACGCCAATGAAAGATATTTTTACCATCTATTTTAAAAAGTTATTAAAGATACAATTTTTTTTTCTTTCTAGAATTCTAAATTGCTGTCTGAATAATGTAATTTTAGACTAAAATAAATAAGAATGAATAAATTTTTATAATATAAGAAAAACCTAGAAAAGGGCATCCTACTACTAAATAGAACTCGCTATATATGGAGAATATAACCAATTTTTCTTGAACCTAGAACTCTAACAACTATTTAAAATTTATTTCAGCCTGAATTTGACAAAAAATTGAATCAAGTTTAAACTCCTTGAAAAAAGAAATATATTTATGCCCACTTTTATTATTTTAAGTTTCTTAATAATTATTGTTATTTATTGCAGTGATTGTGCCATGAACAACGTCACCTCTTTGAACAACTATTCCAGTTCTTCGAGTAATACTTTATATTTTAATTTTGAAAAAATATGATTATTTATAACTACATACCAATACTTAGTCTCGTTAGAGATAACCTTAAACAAATAATTAGTGTTTGCAAAAAATAAATCTTTTTGAGAATACATAACACAATGACTCTTGGCAATAATAACATCGCTATCAAAAGTCCTAAATTTTTAAATTAGTTTTAAATTTTGAAAATATTATAAAAATATATTTCGAGTCGTTAATCTTCGGTATTCATTACTAAATTATTTTATTTATATTTTTTTATCGATTCATAATAGCCCTTTTCTCCAAGTTTCAACTGTCAACATACAATAGCCTCCTTAGTAATTTTACCAGTACCGGCCTAACACTTCTTAATCCCGAAAATCCGTTATCTCTCATCAATGTCAAAAATTCCCCTACGCTCTCACAAAATTTGTTGTCTCCCAACAATACGAATAATAATCTAATGTAAACGGAAAGGGCACAGGGGAACCGGGGCATGTTGGGGACAAAGACACTTTAGTTTTTTTCAATATATTTGTAAACTATCATCATATAAGAGTGGTATTTTAAATTTCACATTATTGGTCAAAAGATATTTATTCTTTCAATTTTTTATAAAAGTAAAATTATAGCATATCAAAAATAGCAAAAATTAAATGCAAACTGAAATAAATTTTAGCAAAGTTATTAATCTATTTTATAATTTAACAACTTTTCAAAATAAAACATGAATTGGATTTTGTATCAAGTTCATAAATAAAAGGTCTATCAAAATCAAAGATTTATCAATATTTATCCAAAAAACATAAGAATATAGCTAGTCCATTTCAACGCTTGTTGATGTCAATCAGCCGACCATCTATTAACTTGCAAATTCAATTAATTCTAGCACAAGTTCTATATTAGAGAAAATAATATATATTTTTAAAAAAAATTTATCAGGGTTTATGACACAATTTAAATTTCCACTCTTATATAATTGATAGTTTTAAAAAAATTGAAGTAGACTATCATGTCTCTGTCTCCAATGTGCCCCTGTTTCCTCTAATATATATATATATATCAGAGACTTACAGAAATTTATTTGTACGGCTTAGCCTATATTTGGGAAAATAAATATAAATCAATTTGGCCCTGATTTTTTTTAAAAAAATTTTCGACCCGTATCGGGTTTTATATTCTCCGTCCTAGCCCAGATTTTTAAAAAAAACCAATATCGGTTGGGGTATGTGAATTTTTTCTACAGCCTTGGTTTTTAAAAAAAATTAAATTGAATAATATTTTCTAAGGAACGAAAAAATTGAAACAGGAAATATGATAAGTTAAAGAATGTCATATGACGTTTTATGATACACAATTTTTAAATATATTTTATTTTTAATTTTTATAGATAATGGCGATTTAAAATATTAAGACCGGCCCGGGTATTTAAAAAGAATAATTTTAGAACCGACCCAAATATTTTTATTAAAAAAAATTTAGGCCCGGCTCGGGTATATTTTAAAAAAAAAATACTGTAGGTCTCTGATATTTATATAATAAAAAACCAGATCAAATATTCAAAATTATATTGAGCATTTATTGAAAATTATCAAGACACGTTTTGATTTAATTAATCTATTAATATTTTATAAAAATTTTAGGATCAAAAAGATAAATCCACCTGAAACCTGGGAAAATGTTATTCAAGCTCACGTTGATTCTTCTATTAAGACTATGCCTGGTGAAAAGGCTTCCTTCGATTGTAATTTATTTGATTTTCTGACCCTAATAAAATAAACTGTTTACAAAACAAACACCATTACTTTTTTTTTAACCTAACTAATGATTAATATTCTTATTTTCTGTATGAAATTGATAATTATACTATATTCTAAAACTCAGGGAGTTCATAAAGAAAGTAATCCGGTATATTCACTTCTGAAAATATCCTAAATACAGAAAAAAAATTTATTTAATTTACATTGTAAGATAATATTCCCCAATTTTAACTACTACGACTAAGTTATTCCTTAATTATTACTAAATTTTATTAATAATTTTTGACCTAAAGATTATTTTTACTAAGAAAAAATAACCACCACCATATTCTTCTCCAAATAAATCTACTAATTACTGATGTGACCAGTCCTGCCTCACCTCTTATATTACTTACTTAAGGCTGGGGTTTAAATTGTAGATAATTTTGGGTATATTTTTCAAACAAAATAAAGTTTTTTGGCGCCCTAAACTTGACACCTTAAAACTTTTTTATTTTTGTAACGATGAGGAACCGCAATACTTTAATTTCCAGTTGCTTCCTTCGATAGTAATTTATTTGATTTTCTGTCCCTAATAAGATAACCTGTTTACAAAACAAACACTATTACTTTTTTAACCTAACTAATGATTAATATTCTTATTTTCTATATGAAATTGATAATTATACTATATTCACTATAACTCAGGGAGTTAATTCATAAAGAAAGTAATCGGGTACATATTCACTTCTGAAAGTATCCTAAATACAGAATTTTTTTTTTAAATTTACAATGTAAGATAATATTCCCCAATTTTAACTACTACGCAGTGACGAAGCGTCCATAGAAGCAAGGGAAGCATTGCTTCCCTTGAAATTTTCTTACGAAATTTTTAAATAAACTTAATATAATCTTTGTATTATGCTAAATAAACTAAACTGACTTCGTTAAAAAAATTAATATAATTTTTATAACGTTAAAAAATTAATATTATTTTTATAACGTTAAAAAATTAATATTATTTTTACTATATTAAGAAATACTATTATTTTTACTATGTTAAAAAAGTTACTATTATTTTTACTACGTTAAAAAAATATACATGAGGGAAGCAAATTTTATATTGCTTATTTTTTTTAATAAATAAAATCATGCCATTGTATTTTGTAATTTTACCATTAAAAAATTAGCGTTGGGGAAGCAAATAAAAAAATGCTTATTTTTTTAATAAATAAAAGAGAAAGAAATTTTTTTATATAATATTTTTTTCCTTACTTTTTTAAAATAAAAAATTTTTCGTTTTCAAAATCCTTAATTAATATTTAATAATTGTAATTGTATTATTGAAAATTTATTAACATTATCATTTAGCTTAAGATATTTTGATGCTAAAAAATTGTTATTGAAAAAGGAAGACCAAAACCAATTTTACAAAACATAAAAAAAGAAATCAAAACTTGTATCCGTAATTTTTCTATCGATAAATATGAAAAATATGAATGGCTCACTGGATGTGAATTTTCTAATTCTCTATATTGTTGGTCATGCCTATTATTCCCAAAGGAAAAATATGTTTGGAATGATAAAGGATTTTCGGATATGAATAATTTTTCAAAGGCAGTTAAACGGCAAAGAATCAACCTCTCATTTGCAGTCGATGATTCAATTAAAAACATTTGGCCAAAATCGTATTGAAATGAAAATATGATAGATTCGATGCTCAAAATATCAATTGAACAGCATAATTTTAAAGTCAAATCAAATAGAGAAATATTGATCAACTCTATATGTTTACTTGGAATTCAGGAGCTCGTATTCCGTGGTGATGATGAATCTTCTAATTCAGTAAATAGAGGAAATTATATAGAATTAATTTATTTGCTCGCGGAAGAAAATGTACTATTGAAACATCATTTAGAAATAGTGCAGTTTTTATTGGACTATCAAGCAACATTCAATATGATTTGATTAATTCTATTTCATATGTCTTACACCAAAAAATATTATATTCGTCATAATCAAAATTTCCCAAAATATTTATTAGATAATTTAAACGACACTTATTCTCAATTTTTCGACTTACACAAGCTGGAAACCGAATTAAAGGTAGTGTTTCGGGATGTTGAATTTAGAAAGAAAAAAAATGTTAATGAAATACTTGAATTTTTAATATACACCTATTTGATGAAAAGTTATAAAGAGTTTTTTAAATTATGCAAATTCATCTTAACTTCAACAGCAAGTGCAGAACGGAGTTTTTCATCTTTAAAAAGAATCAAATCTTATTGCAGAAATAGGATGAGCCAAAATCGATTATCGAATCGATCTTTGATTTCGTTTGAAAAAAAATTAATAAAAAATTTTAAATCTAGCGATAACTTTTATAATGCAGTACTTGATCATTTTACTCAAAAACAAAGACTAATACCACTTATTTATAAATCTTAATGTTTTTATGGTTTGAGTTTGACTAAAATAAAAATAAAAAATTTTTTTTGATTGCTTCCCTAGTAGTAAACTTGACGCTTCGTCACTGCTACTACGACTAAGTTATTCCTTATTTATTACTAAATTTTATTAATAATTTTTGACGTAAAGATTATTTTTACTAAGAAAAAATAACCACCACCATATTCTTCTCCAAATAAATCTACTAATTACTGATGTGACCAGTACTGCCTCACCTCTTATATTACTTACTTTAGGCTGGGGTTTAAATTGTAGATAATTTTGGGTATATTTTTCAAACAAAATAAAGTTTTTTGGCGCCCTAAACTTGACAACCTTAAAACTTTTTTATTTTTGTAACGATGAGGATCCGCGATACTTTAATTTCCAATAAAGAAGCAGTCATTGTTCTCAAATGGGATGATGAATGATAGCTAGTGAGGGTTAAAATGGTAAGCTAGAAAGAAGCTCTCGTATTGGGCAGATTTAAGTGAAGTATATTGAGGATTTATATATGAGTAATATGAGCAATGATTCCATTTTGTTATATTCCTCATAAGAAATCGATTAATAATTTGAATTTCAAATGGTGTAAAGTTATTATAATCGAAATCTTAATTTAACAATTTTCATACCTCCTTCTTGTGAACCAATCATACTATTTAATATTACTATTTAACTTATATTATATTGCCTAACAATTTAATTTATAATATTTTTCAGTGAACACTTTCTTGCAAAGTTTATCAGCCCAAGTCGAAGAAAACCGAATCAACGAAATAAAGCTGAGTAAACTGAGATTCAAGGCTGCCCAATTGGCTCTGGAGAATGCGCAACTCATTGAAAAACTTAAGCAAATCTTGCTTAATCGAAATATTTTTAACAACAATCCTAATCTTCTGAATAGCAACTTGTACAATCCTGCTCATATGAACACTCAATTAATTCATAACATCATGAATAATAACAATCTTTCTTCAGCAAACCTTAATAACTGTGTCAGTTTTAATGGTAATATTAGTTCTCTGATACCACCTTCCAACATATTATACAACAACCTATCATCGGGGAATGCTATCATATCTTAAATTTATAATCATATTAATATATTTTAAATTCTATTATATATTTATCACTTTAAAAGATTTTAACTAATAATTTATACGTATTTAATTTAATAATTAATCCTTTTTATAAAAAATTTACTATATACATATACATATATTTATAGGATTTAACAATTTATTAGAAAAATGTTTATACAAATAATTTTTATCATATTCTTTATTTTTATAAATGTTGATTGTGTTGAACTTATAGTGGTTTCAAAAATAAGGTAATTAACATAGGTAAGAAACATTTTTAAAATAAACACATGACCTGTACATCGATGGGTTTAATCGGCTGGTAGTGACTTGCTGAATTTTATTCCAACATAAAAATTTGGTAACGTCGCCAATATTTTTAAAAATTACAAATTGAAAAAAATTTGCAAAGAATCAAATTATAAAAAAATTTACCTTCTGCTCTGAATAGCATGTAAAAAATTATTTCATGATTTGTGAAGGGCATAATGAGTTCTGCATCACCGACAATTCATTGGAGGCGTACGCTAGAGGTCTGCATGGGCAGGTTTTTGGACCATAAGCCTGCCCATCTAATGTCTTTAAAAAAATTTAACCCGCCCGCCCATTAGTCTAAAAATTTTTACCCGCCCACCCATTATTTATAAAAAATTTTAACCCAAGCTTTCTATTATAAATTTAATTATCGCCATTCTTTTAATTTTTTAAGCATCAAATAAAAAAAATTCAGTAATACATCTCTACAAAAAGTTTTACAATTTAGGAAATTAAATTACTATATTAAGCATAAAAAAGTATTCAATTTAAATTATGGATAATTTTTTCGATCAAATATTTATGAAAAAAATATAAATATAAAATTGATATTATATGTTGTAGTTATAATGCAAAAATGATTGAATCGACATTTTCTGGATTCAAACACGCTCTTTGTTCTGAAAACCTTTCAGCAATGCTAAATCCTAGTTCAGAAAAAGCACTAGTTGCAGGAATTGCCGTATTATTCATGCTAATCTTGATAGCTTTGGCAAATTTCTTTCTTATCGTTCCCACCAAAGTAGTTTTAAATATACAAAAAAGTTTCTTTATTTTAAGAAAAAAGGACATTTTAATTTTCAATATCTGAAAAGGTTTGACAATTTTTTATTTATATTTACTTAAATGATTTTAAAAAAATTTCAACCCACCCGCCCATTATTTAAATTTCATAATCCGCCTATAGTTTAAAATTTTTTATAAATCTTTCCTAAATAAGAATAAAAAATTTGAAGATTTTTTACAAACTGATTCAGTCATTTGCTAGAATTATTATATCTTACTATAATAAATTGCATAAATATTACTTAATCGCATTCTAAACTGATTTGTTGATTTATCTAATTTTTAAAAGATGGCAAACCTAATTCGTAAACCTATAATTTATCTATAACCTAAAAAATTGAGGGTTTATAAAGACTGCCCAATTTGTTGTACAGGCCTGTAAAAGTTATTTGCATGACCATAAATAAATGTCATACCTTTTTATCTTTCTCTTCTCAAATATATTCAACTTTTTCAAAACGATGAAAAATTTGTCTGAAGATTTAACTTGTCGGTCAATGTTAGAGGCAGACATGGGCTAATATTAAAAATAAATGGTGTAAAAAATCCCACTCATCTGTATTAGAATGAAATTTGATAACACTTTTCCCATAAGCATTAATATTACATTCTTACCATACCTACAAGATAAAACTTGTAAAACACTTTTAACTTCGCCTTAATTTCAATTGCCATATACACCATTGTGCCATCTGCCTCCAAAATATTAATTTTTTAAATTTTGACATAAAATCAAGAGCATCATTAGAAATATAATTTACCGGGGCTCAGAGGCATATCTAGATTTTGGTAAAGGAGGGGGCTAAATTTATTCCCTATGTATTTTATTGGAGAGCTTTAGGCCCACTTATTGAGGTCGCTTTATTAGATTTTTATAAAAATAATTTTAAGTTTGCACTTTTTTTAATTAAATTTCTTTTTTTCTAAAAATTCAGAATTATGATCGTTATTTTAAAAAGTTAACTTTTTTTTCAAATTTTTTCTTACAATGATAGATTGTATACATTTTTGGGGGAATATATATTAGGTAAAAATGGTATTTACGAGAAACAGCCAAATTTGCGATTCTCCCATTGGTTACGCGCCTGCCAGGTCCAATGCGCTGAAAATCTATTTTTTAAAATTATCAACATATTTTTTTATTTTTGCTCTAATATTAATATTTTCAAATTTATTTGAGGATAGTTTTTGAAATATATGACAGGGTCTAACCCTCAATATCACCCCCCCCCCCCCCAGTGGCCCCTATAACGTTGGAGTCCGAAGCAAATGTTTCTAAAAATTTGATTGGGGTACTTTTAAAAAAAATTTAATTCTTTTACTACATCCATAACCAAGTGATTTCTGGTTTATGATATCTGACTCTACCTCGTGATTCCCTTAAAACACAATAAAAAATCTAAATTATATTAAAATTTATTATCGTACAAATATTCTTGCCGAAACCATGAAAAATATAAATATAAAAAAATTAAAAAAGAAATTAAATTTATCAGGTGCTTTTCAATTATAGTTGATGACACAATATATTTCGAAATTAGAAACAACAGTTTTGAATAGTGAGACACGGTTGAAAGACTGATAGACATATATTGTACGGGAAATACAACTGGTCTCTATATTAAAAAGAATATAATATCCAAACTTGGCTCCATTAATCTATCTTTCGAATTCTTAGTTTGGTAAAGTTATGATGGCGCCTCAAACATGAGTGGACAAATTAATGGAATACAGGCTTATATTAGGCGGAGGCGTCAAATGCAATGCTATTGTCATCCATTAAATTTAATCATTGTTCAATTATGTCAATCACTAAATGAACTGCGAAAGGTTTAAGAATATTAGACGAGATTTATGTATATTTAATGGTGGTAAAATATATGTGGTGCTCAAATCATGTCAGAAGAAAAGTACTGACGAAATCGCAACGATTTTTATGCATCAAGAATACCACTAGGTAATAATATTTTATTTGTTTAGATTAAAAAATGTTTATTTCATATTTATAGAAGCTAGCTATCTTCATATAAAGCGATTGTAAATTTTTTCCTACTTTATGATACTTTGAGGGCAACTTATAGATTCTGCTACTTACACTATGGCCAGAGCTATTATAAAAGTTTTATTTTATTTTATCACTTTGTGTTTTGGATAAAATATTGCTGATAAGAAGATTGGCTTGTAAAACTATTTTAAAGGGTAATTAAATTTAATTGGCAAAAGATTTCCTGTATTAATTTCAGAAGTATAATTTATTTTTATTGTCTTTTGTTATTTTTAAATCCTAATAGATAATAACACTGAATTTTGGATGTTTTTTCAAAGGCACAAGTTTTTATGAATGAGAGAAATCTATCTTTTGATTTGAAAGTTCTGGACTACAAATGTTACAATCCAAAAAGGAGAAGTATATAATTTCATCATTAAATTTTACATTTTATTTTAGCTTTAAAACCAGTGTGTTTTTACTGCACTTGATTTGATTATTCTGCAGTTTAAATGAAAGATTTAATGATAAATCGATGAAATTTTTAAATCAAACATCATTTTTTACACCATAGAGATTGGTGGAAAAGTCAACCGTTAAAGATAATATCAAGGATATCTGTGAATTTTACTATTTAAATTAATGTCAAATTTTTGAAGAAATATTAAAGTTTCGAAATATTTATAAGATGGCCTAAACGGAGATGTAATTATTACATGTGATCTAGAGGTTAAAGAATCTAAGGATTTGTCAGATTCTGAGAATTAAAATTATTTAATTAAAATATTTTTACTAATACATTCTTTAGCTTCTTCTTGTGATGATGGATAATTCTTAGACGACTTATGATTCAGACTGGAAAAACTTTTCGTTTATTTTACCTTATCGTCTACTTTAAAATTTTTCTGTTTTTCCTAATTTAACAATTTTTTATAAATATTTATTAACCATTCCTACTACCTCGTGTACTATCGAAAGGGTCATGAGTAAAATTAAATTATTTAAAACAAGACTGTAGTACCATAAAATATCCATTTCTTAATAATTTAACCATTTTATCAATAGAAAAAACTTTATTTAAACAATTCAATATTGATGAAATTATAAATATTTTTGCTTTCTCCTCCCCTAATTTATCTAAATTATTAATTTAAAAATAGTGTTTTTAAAGTATTTATTTTATAGATTATATATTAAAGATTGATGCCATTAAAACTATTTTTAAAATTATGAGTGTCATAAATAAATCAACCATTTTTTCGAGGGAAGGGGGTACTTTTCATGGGAGTATTTTGCTTTCATCGCTTAGAAAGTGTAGGGGGCCACTGCCACCCCATACCCTGCATAAAGTTTAAAATAGGGAGCCAATTTTTTTTATTTATATATAAAAATTCCTATATAAAATTACTGCTAGATTTCCTTAAGTTCCTAATTCCTTGATTTGGGGTATTATCTCTAACGTTTACCAATAATAATCCATTTTTATATAATTTTCGAGAAATCGCAGCAAGTAAATGAGCATCAAACACATGTTATAATAAATCAAAAAGTTGTTGTGGTAATGGAATTGGATCTAAGTTTAAATCATTCTTCGAAGTGATTATTATCAAATTGCCATTTATTCGAATTAATTTAGATATCACAACCAAATGTACATTGTTCTTTCATTCTTAATTAAATTTTTGAAATGTTTGGGAATATTCATGCTCTATTATTTGTTCCAATCTTCCAATTTTATATACTCGTTTATTGCTATTAATTTATGGTATTATAAAATATATAATAGATTATTCTTATTTTTCTAGGTCTATGTTATTTATGTTTATTATACAAAAATTTAATAATGATTTATCTTTTAATTTAAGCAAAATACCTTTTATGAAAATTATTGTCATATCTATTTTACTTTTAATCCTTAATATATTTTGGTTTATTGGCTTGCTAATAACTGGACCACTGCGGTATATAATGAATTTATTTTAATTATTAATATATCTTGTAAAGGACTATATTTATTTATGAAACAAATGACTTGATTCTCTCAACAATTATTCTTTTATTTGTTACAACACATTCATCTCCTACCAAGGTTTTTTCTACATTAATATTTTTTAGATAATGTTACAAAATATTTACTAGAATATAAATTTAAATTATTTATTCATTAATGGCTAAAATATATACTCCTTATTAAGTAAATATAATTAATGATCTACTCAGTCTGAAATTCAGACAGGGTATCAAACAGAATTGTTAAAATATTTGTCATATAAACTGAACCTCTATAAACACCTCTGAACTGGAACATTTTGATATTATAACCATTTTTTAGAGTAGTGATAATCAGTTTTGAGATAAGTATTGATATAAATAAACGATACTCATTGTATTCAATTGAGAAACATTGATGGTATATTCCTTGAATAGACTAGAGGAGGTTCTTCTGCTTTTAAAATGTAATATTTTTTTAACCCATATTTGTGTATATAAACTCTACTATATTTATATTTTACTGCTATAAGAAGGTCTAATTTAGTCTGGTTCGGCTAGATTTTTCTTTTTTTTGTAAAAAACAGATTTATTTAATTTGTCTATAGAATTCAATTTTGCATTAAGCTAGAGCCACTATCTGAAGATATTTTTAAATATATAATATGTATTGATAAAGCCCGTTTTTCAAATTTGATTTGAATTATGTATGTAAAAAAATATGTATCAAATTATTCGTAAATATATATAAACTAGCCATATGTATTCAATATGTTTCTAATGGAACTTTTATTTTTTATGCTTTATATTCAGGCATTTAAATATTTAGATACACTTTATATATGGTTTCTTTAGTACGATTCCTTTTTATATTAGTTTTTTAAAAAATATACCACTAAGCTATGGAATGTTAAAAATAACAATATTGATCACCACTAATTCAGCATCAAATACGCAAGTTGAAGGAATGAGGTGGAATAAATTCATTGAATAATTTATGTTAAATTCTGTTTTATTAATTATATTAATAGTATAAAAAAACATATTTATAAATTGAAATGAGATAGTTTTACATTTAATTATATATTTATATTATTGTCTCACTCACATTTATTGATTCCATTATCTTATAGTTTATTAATACCTATTGAAATGGAAATAGATTTTAATTTAGTCTTAGAATTGGGTAAAAGTTCTAAATAACCCTTTTTAGCCAATTAAAAAAATGTCAAACCTAGTTTTTAGCTGAAAACTATAATTATAGCCTTTGGTTTATAAAAATATACTTCAACTTTGAAGAAGGCTTAAATAAATTAGCTCACCTCAATGCTTAACAAAAAAACTTTCAACACACACCTCTAGATTAGGCTAAATTAGCCAATTTTCAGCAATGCCACTATCCACAAAATCAATACTACCATAAAAATAAAATATTTGATGCCCAATCAATCATTTAATTTTATTTAATAATTGTAAAGTTTGATTGATTAATTGTGTTTTAGAGACTAAATGAATAGTTTTGTTTATGATATTATTTTTGAATAATATAAACAGAGACTTGCAGAAGTATCATTTGCACCTGGCCCAGATTTTTTTAATTATATTTTATTTATTTAAAATTTTTATAACTAATAATAACGATTTAAAATATTTATTTTTAAAATATAAGCCCACCCCGAGTATTAAAAAATATTTTTTTAGGTGCGGCCCATGTACCCAGACCAGGCCTGCAGATCTCTGAATATAAAATCATTTATTCAAGTTTCATTATATCGATTTTATATTTAATAAAATTATATTTATTTAAACCTTTCATTAGGATTGCGTCCAAAGTCAGAATTTTATTTTTTTAAAAAAATTAATTTATTATTGAAGTTTACAAAAATGAAAGCATATTGTATAATTATGTCATGATCATTTATTTATTATTTTTTTAATTTTGACTAAACCTTTCAAATGATCAAAAATATTTAGGAATAATTTGTAAATTGTGAATTCCCGCTTTTTTGATTTTCTTACCACTAACGAGACCTCTATTCAAACATGAATCGAATAGTGCCATATTCTTATTCGATTTGTTCTATTTATATATTCGTATACTTATAATTATATTTACTATTTGTATTCTATTCGAAAAATTTCTTTTTTAAAAATATAAAATAATTCATAATAAAATATATTGACAGAATTTTTTAAAATTTTTATTTGCACATCTAATAACAGAAGAAAAAAAACATCGATTAAGTTATCAGCGAAATTAAAATGCATATTAGCTTAAATTTTTTAAGGCTCTTGTTTCTTCTTTATAAGACATACGTTTTTTTCACAACAAATTAATTTCAACTAAGTCTTTCACAGGCAGTTGCTATATACTGTGTTAATCACACCGGCTGTCAGTTTGTTAAGTATCAAGAGAAATAACAAATGATAAATTTTATTAAAAAACAGGATAATTATTCAGAATTACTCGAATATTCGATATAATACTTTGAATATTCGAATCGAATTATTCGTTTTTTTATCGAATAAATTACTATTCGTATTGGAGCAAAAGAAATAATTTACTATGATTATTTGTTTTTATTTGATATGAATCGAATTATTCGAAACGAATAAAAAATTCGATTTGTTTTTAAATAGGCCTGCCTCTAACCAATAATTATTACCTTATTTATCTATATTTAATAGATTAGAGGAGGAATAATGTACCTATTAGCCATTGTTTGCTTCTTATTCCTAGATCACGATGATAATTTGAATGCTCATAATCCTGGCGCCAAAAATATAGAAAATATTCAAATCAATGAAAATAACTTTTTCCTAAACTTATTGGGCAAAATATTGAATTTATCCGATCACAAAGTATGACCAAATTGCATATAATTTTGAGTTAATTTTGTCTATATTATTAACAGGATAAAATGGCTGCTCGGGCTACCTTTTTTTATAAAAAATAATATTATATTACAGAGACCAGCAGACGCGGCCCTGCCCTTGAAAATTTTAAATGTAATCTCTATACCACACATTTTATCCTGATTTTTTCTTCCCCTATACTTTGAAACACTGGCATTTAGAACGAACTTTTGATAGTTGGTGATGGTTTTATATTTAACCTTTTTTTGCCGATTCCAATAATATGGCGAAACTGAGTTTTTACCCGAAAATTATCATCCCAGCCTTAGGACTTTTTTTATAAAAATAATAGTAGCATAATCATAGCTCAATCATGGAAAGAGCGAAATAATTTAACTCCCCTAACCTTAGCGGAATCCTCCTGTAGATAGTGCCTCATTAGCCTATTTTAATCTTTAATAAATTTTACTTTTTTATATTTTGTTTAACATATATTTATAGCAAGGCGTCGTTTTATTACTATTCGTCACCTTCCTGAGAACCCTGGTCGATAAGTTGGTTAAAAAGATTTCCATTCAAATAGGTGGTCTTAAAAAGAGCCAATTTTTGCTTCAAACTTGCCAAGCCCTGATCCTTATTCCTGTTATGGTCATCTTAACTAGTTTTCAGCCAACTGGAGCCGATGAAAAGGAGAATCAGGTTTTCACTTATTTATCGCTTGTTTGTTGTATAAAATGTTGTATATATCGTTGCTTTGTAATTGAAACAAACATGTTATAACCCTAGTTTTTTATTATTAGTTCTGGCGAAAAAAAAATAAATGCGTGCCAAATGAATATTAAATATTTTTGAAAATATAAGTGCGATGAATAAAAATGAATGAAAGGACAGAAAGAAATTTTTTTTTTAAATATTTTTTAGAAATATTATAATAAAATATATCTAGGATATTATTCATAAATCACTATCGTGGTTCATGTGGCTTTTCGCTACCTCTTTCATTGCGCTTTTCGTTTTCGTGGTCAATTTTTATACTGACATTACTTGTGGAATGAAAATGGAAAAGTTCAAATTTGCTCGCATATCTACCCTAAGTTTTATTCGTTTTATAATATCAATATTTTTTTTTATTCAAAGATATAACTAATTGGGTTTTATAAAAATACTAATAATATTTTTATTAATATATAAATGATTGCCAGGAAATTGACTGAAGATTGACTTCCAGGAAAATACATCCCCTCCCCTTTCTCCTTTAAAAATTTTCTTCCCTAAATGTTTTTTAAAATCTTGCTTTATTCTATTTTATTTTAATAAAAATAAGAACAATTCAAACACCATGACAAAAAAATATTCTAATTTTTGATACATATGCCCATTTTTTCTAAATTAAGTGTCTTTATCCTATCTAGTTACAATTTTTAAAATGTTATTAAGGTGTGTCCTGGTTCCACTCATTACTTAATAACTAGCTGTTTAGCTGTACTCTTACTTTTTAGGCTGTTTAGTCGAAGCTATATAGCCGGCTGTTTGGAAATAGGTCGATTCAGGAGACAGCCTTATGTCTGAATGAATAATACTGTATAACTAAAAACATGTATATTCTAATTTTTTTTAAAATTAATATTAAAATCAGTGACCTGAGGAGGTCAAAATTTTAAGACTGGCTTGAGAATTTTTTTGAAAAAACTATTTTAGTTCAAGGCTAATTAAAAATTTTCAATTTTGGCTGTCTTTTATCCATCATTTCAAAGGGAGATTAAAAATAATATGCAGGATGAATGTTTGAAATCCACTCTTGATTTTGTATTTCTTTTATATAATCAGGTTTAGAGCCAGACCTTCAGGTCTCTGATTAAAGCTTATGGCGCGGGAAATAAGTTAGGAATCTAATCTCTAAATTCCTCACAGTTTTTTAAAAAAATATATATTTTGTGTTTTATTAGATCTAACTGGCCGTTTTATGCTAATTAGTGTACATAGGCCCACTTGTTTCAATTTATTTTGATTCGCTCCGATTTACACCTTTTGAATGAGCCCGATAGAGGGACGATGAATTCCACAAGATTTTATAAATCGAGTTTTTTGTCTTCGTCCGTATTTCATATTTCGGAGGGATATATTGACTTAATATACGGCGTACAATAGATTGGGATAAACTATTTCCCTTTTAATTAATTGATTGAATAATTTTTGTCAAAATAAGTTAGAATCTACTTTGATTGTAGCCATCGCAGGCCTTTTTTTCCTTCCAATAAATAAATAAATAATTTTCACCTACATACTAAGATATGGTTTTGTATAGAAAATTTTAAAGATTCTTTTCCAAAAAGAAATAATCAATAAAAAGACCATTCATTATCTGATGGGATGAAACTGACAGAATTTTCTCGTCTGCGATTTTTCCAATCACCTAAAATATACAGAATATCATATGTAACATTTTTAATTATCTTTAAATTTTGCAAATTATCAGAAATTAATAGATGGTGTAGTTTTAAATTCTCTCAAAGTCTTTTTAACAGATTCCTCTAATAGCATTACACATTAGATCCGTAGCCCGAATTTTTAAAAAAAAAAAATTTGTCTGGCCGGATCTCGAATCCTTTTTTTATTTATTCCACCCCACAATTTTTTTTTCGCTCGACCAGGCCCGAATTTATTTTTAATATAGAAGACATTGTATATTTTTTTTTAATTGTGAAATTAATAATTTACAAAAAAAAAATATATTGGCCCCTTGCTTCATGCAAAAATTTAAAAATATGTCAATTTATTTCACAAAGAATGGTATAATGTTTAAATATTTAAGTCCGGCCCGAATTTTTTTAAATATTTCGACCCGAGGACCGCCCCGCCCGGAACCGCATTTACGCTTAATTTTGAAACTTCTTCAGCAAATATTTGGAGAGATTTTTCTGCTCTTTTTCATGTTTACTATACACTGTATCCGTTTTTAACAGAAAGATTGGCATGCATACCATTGCGAGTATGTTCTTTCTAATGTTGTGTTGAATTCGCTGCAATTCGTTCATCTCTTTTTAATAGTATTAATTCTTTTTTACGACCAACATATAAACATCCACCGAAATTAAATTTATTTATTTTTTATTAATTTCCGTAGATTCCATATTTTAATTATCATATATTAAGAGTTAAAAAAAAAATTTGGGGGCCAATTTTCCTGGAGTCAATTATCCGGGAACCAATTTTCTAGGGTTCAATTTAGAGACCTGCGAAAACGAAATAGCCCGAGGCCACCCATAGCCCGTGGGCAAAAAATTTTATACCAGGCCCGCTCCTCGGCCCCGAATTTTTAAAAAAATTCAATCATTTTGAATTTTATTTTATTTCCTTTCCTAATTTGACGCATTCAATTTAAATATTCAGCAATAACTGATGATAATTTAATGATATTTATCGATCTTATACCATTTTATTTGCAAAAATAGTATAAGAAAATAAAATAGTAAATATTTTCCACCTCCTGACTATAATATTAAAATATCTGGGCCACGGGCGGGTCCTATATTTTATTAATGATGTTATTACTGCCACACAGGCTGTGTTGACCGGCTTATCCAGTATAACTAAGACAATTTTCCGATTACCATTAATATAACTTCAAATAAAATAGCTTGTTACGCTTCCGCCATCGTCTTATATTTTTTACACGCCTATATGCTAACCGGAAATCGGAAAAAGGAGACCACTGTGCATGAGTCTAGCACTATCATCGAATCTAATCACCTACCCTTAGATCCTCATCCAGTAACGCTAGGAGCCATTATAGGCATAATTTTCTTGATTATAGGTTAGTTATATATTATGATAATATGATAGCGTCGATTGTAATGTGTGATATTGATTATATTATTTTGTTGTGTAAAAATTAAGTTAGCCAACTACGATGAACGAGTGAGACTAGTTAAATATTATTTATATACAGGGATGCACCGTTAACTAGTGTTGTTAAACGACTCGCCAAAATAATATTACCTAAGCCTTAATATTTCACCCATTCATTTCTAAACATTTCTGCCACCTATAAAACAAAATCTCCAAGCCTTGGGTAATTTAATTTTATTTTAAATTTTTGAGTTAGCCATTTTTAAAAATAGGCTGATTCGGGCCGTTTAACCATACTACCGGTATACCTTATTCACAAAGCCATTTAACTATAATTGTAGACTGTTCTATCTACTTCTACTTGTAGGCATATTTGCTCTAAAAAATTTTTTAAAGTTTTCTTGGAGTGATTAAAATTTGCTTTAAAAAAACAGTTCCAGGGTCAATTTTAAAAAAAGGATAGACATTTTAATTTGTTTAAAAAACATGCGGAATTAGTTTCATGAACAACTTTACCGCTTACATTTTAGGTAAACTGAGAAACCTCCTAATTTTAGCAACTAAAAACAGATCATTATCGAAATCTACAATCAACTGACTTTATTTTTATATGTTTTTTTCGATCTAATGCAATATATATCTCAAAAAATAATATTTCTAGCAATCCTAAATTTGACCTCTAACGTTCAGAAAAGTTCTAAGGGATATTTCGTGGGATATTCAACGTTTTCTGGATTGCCTCTATACTCTTATACGTGTAATAATATAATTATAATAAACATTATAGAAAGAAAAAACAATTTATCACAAAAATAAAAAACCAAATTATAATTCGAGTGCCCTCACTAATATGATTTACAAACCAAAAAGGACAGTATATAACAATAAATTTAAAAAAACAAATGAGGAAGATTAATATATTTGCTTATAGCTTAAATGGTTAAATTCGGCCATGTAAACTTATCTGGTCAAAGAAAAAGCACACGAAAGCTAATTAGGGGCTGCATTTTTATTAAGCGTGCTTCTCCCAAGTGATGCAAAATTTTTCGCTACGTAATTGATGTATCAAACTAATAGGTAATCATTTATAAATATTGAGTGAAATGATTAAATTGCGATGGCTGTTTATGCATATTTCTTATCGCTGTGATAAATCAGCTATATTTTGTTAGTGATTAATTTTGCATCGATTGAGCAAATCGCGCTTACTTACCATTCTTATTTTTTTTTTCAATAGAAAAAATTTTCGGTGATCCTTTAATTTATATATATTTATTAAAATTTTATGCAAAATAATAGAATCTAAGCTATAGAGGAACTATTTAAGCTCGCATCATTTGTAGAACCACTTGGCCATGTAAACTTTCACTATTTACCTTATTTTTATTTATTATATTTACATCACGCCTCAGCCGAACACATATCGACGATAACCCACCCTTTCAAGCAATTGTTGAAAAGTTTTTTCGCCCAAATGTCTATGGACAAAGCATCGAAACCTATATTTTATTTCCTCTTGGCAAATCTGGTAATTTCATATGTTTAAAAAAAATGAAGCCCGTTTACCTTCACTCTTGATTACTTTATATCATTTAATTTTAGTATTTATGACAAACTAACTGTCTCTTTCAAACTCCCGATTGTAACCCCGTTTTCTACTTGGATTAAACTGGCAATTGTATTTTTACCAGAAGCATTTATACAAAATGTGTCTAGTTCTCATAATATTGTAAAGCCAATTTGCCATGTCTTTTTAAAAATAATTTTATTTTATTGGGACATTTTACCATTATTCAGGCATTCATGCTTGTCGAAATCATATACGGAGCTTGGACAAATAGCCTGGGGCTTATATCTGACGGGTTCCACATGCTCTTCGATTGTTCGGCCCTCGTTATGGGTTTATTCGCATCGCTTATGGCCAAGTGGAAGCCTAATAAAACATTTTCTTACGGGTTTGATTTTTTTTCCCTCTTCATTACATTCATTTATTTTATTTTATTATTTTATACTTTATTTTTTTTACATTTTTTTATATATATCTTTTTTGCAAAATAAAATCTTAATTTTTTTATCCTTTTATTTCTTTTATTTTCTTCATTCTATATCTATTCGTTTTCAGTCTGTTCATTTATTTATCCATTTCATTTCTTTAGCACCTTCATTCTTAGTACTTTTATTTTATGTTATTCAACTGATATCACTTATCTCTTATGGCCAAAGAGGTGGGCTTCATTTTCTTTTACATATGTTCTTCATTCTTTATTTCCTTCTATTCTTTCTTTACATTTCTCAGCTCATCAATTCTGTACTTGATAAGGATATTACTATGGCTTCCAAAAAATATTTGCAGGGCATCTTCATTTTTAAACTTCTCTTTCCTTTTCTTCCTAGATCCTATTCCCACTCAATTTGGTATCCTTTTCAGCTTTCTCTATCCCTTCTTTAATACGGATAGATTTCTAGTTAGCTATTCATTTATACTTATTGTATTTAAAACCTAGTTTAAAACATTTTTAGATTTTATAGCATAATAAGTGCGTGTTTTATTGCGAAAATATCAACTAAATTAGTGAACACTAACCATAAATTAGGTTTTATTATAAAGTTAACTTTGCTAAACCCAAATAGGTACGGCAGAGTAGAAATTTTATCAGGTTTTTTGAACGGGCTTTTCTTGGTACTAATCTCGCTCAACGTATTTATGGCCGCTCTGGATCGACTGTTCCAACCTCCGAGGATAGAGTCCGAAAAATTATTGGTATATTAACATCGATTGTTATTTATACTATATATAATATAGCATTTTAACTCAATAATGTTCTTAAAACCTATATATATTGCAAATAAACTATTGAATTAAAAACTACCTAACCTGATCATACATGGCGATACCAACTTAATTTTAATACAATTTTTTTTAAAAAATATAGCTAGTATCTGTCATAGGACTCATCATAAATCTGATCGGAATTTTCGCATTCCATTTTTCTGGCGAATGCTCACATTCCCACTCACACTCCCACTCAGGTCATTCGCATTCCCACCAAAGCCATTCCCATCATCATGATCACCATGACGCACCCGGATCTAAGCTGGAACTAGTGCAGACCGCCGACAATTCAGGTTTGTTTTTCAAATAAACTTTTATAATAACTTCTTTTTTACCTATCATATGTAAAAAAATATATATCCTAATATTCCCCAACACCATTTGTTTTTTAGTATGGGCCAAATTAATAAATTAATCACCTATTGAAAAATATTTTTCTTTGGGAATAACTAATTTTGAATAAATTATTATTAAAGATATAAACGGTTACAAAAAGTTAGAGATGGAGGAGGAGACCAATGGATACATCATAGTGCTGCCACCATCTGTTGATGATACCTCAAAAGATATCCAAACGCATGATGGCCATCATTCTCATCATAATAAAGAAACATGTTCTCACGACCATAAGGGTCACCAACATTCTCACCACGACGAAGAGGAGCATCATCATCATAAGAATCACTCTCACTCCGGACATGGGCATAATATGAATATGGAAGGTAAAGAAAAGCAAAGAAAAAAACGATTAAAAGAAAATAAATTATAATAAGGAAGGAAGGGGTGAAAGAAAAGATTAAAATACATATGGAAAAAAATGAAAAGGAAAGAAAGTTAAAGTAAAATATATTTTTATATCCTTATAATTTTGTTCAAGGTATATTCCTCCACGTTTTAGCCGACACTCTGGGCAGCGTAGGTGTCATTGTTTCCTCTTTTCTAATGCAGAGGTACGGTTGGTTCATAGCTGACCCCATATGTTCCCTCTTCACTTCCTTATTGATTTTCTTCAGGTTTTATATTTGTTATGGATAACTCAATCAACCAATCCTTCTTTTTTTAAACATAGGGGTATCTATTAAGGCTGTCCGATTCACAATTTTTTTTTCACCAATTGGATATTTATAATATTTTCTAAATATTAATTCGATCTAATTTTATAATTAAAAAAATTGCTTTTTAATATTATAATTTTAATTTTAAGCTTTTGGATTTTATTTTAAAAATGCAATCAAAATATTCTTTTATTATATCTTTTTTTATAAAATAAGTATTCCAAATTGTTTTCTATTATTTAAAATATTTTCTTTTTAATTTATAGTACGGCATGGTTTATGTTTGATGTTAGAAGAAAATAGATAAAAGAATTTAAGTTATAATTTCAATCATACTCAATAATCGAATTAAATTGAAATTAACCCATTGATCATGTTTCATAAATATTTATTTAAATTATTATAAAATCAAAATATCTTTATATGAATCTCGTACTTATAAAAATAGAAGTATGGGTATGCGAGATGCAGTATTGTATTATATTACGCGATTAATTTACGATCCTATTTTTCACGAAATTTTGATCCGATATATCACACCGGATAGCTCTAGGATGGATTGCCCGCCCATTTTTAAATTAGTATTTTATAATCGGTGGCGCTAAGTCCCTTACTTTCCTATTGATGTTATTTAGGGTTTTATATTTTTTTTTGAGAAAATAAATAAAATAAAGTAACACGTGAATAGATTTATTTTTATTATAAATGGCGGCTCTTATATTCATCTAACCTTAGTCACATCAGGATTATTAAACCCGATAGTTTACATATCAGGATTATTAAAAATGGAAGTTTACATGGAACAATATAATAATCAAGCAAATTTATTTATTGATTCTATATTTTATCTTTTTAATTCAGTGTCTTGCCACTCCTCAAGGAAACCTGCTACGTTTTATTGCTAAAAACTCCAAAAGAATTGATGTCCGACCTTAAGGGCATTTTATCGAAAGTAATTTTTATTTTTCAATGACAAATTTGTTCATTAAATACATTTTGAACAAAAATGATTTTGCTTTTAACTCTACACCCTTTTTTATATTGAACATGTGATTTTGTTAAAAAATAATAATTACGAAATAACAATACACTGTTGCATCCGATGTTTATATTTATAACTGGTCGAACCTGAATAATCCGATTTATGTAGAATATTAGCTATATTTAATCGTCCTTTTTAATTAGATATCTATTTTCAGACTTAGCTTTGTCTGGGTTTTATTTTCCAGACAAACCCACATATTTTGATTTATCGGTATAACTTGAGTTCTTAAATCTTTGACACTTCCCGTATTATTTAAAATAACAGTACGACGCTGTTTTTTAAAAGTTGGCTCTTCAAATGTGCTTTATTTTATAAAAGGTGGAAGTAAAAAAAATACGAGAAGCTAATAAATGTCATCCATCATTTGATTTCTCAACGATACAATTTAAATTTAATATATTAAATCCTAGTTGGTTAAAAAAAGCACATCTCTAATTAATATTTTCTCCCTATTTAGCTTTCACCTTTTCGGATGGTAAATCCATCATTAACCTATTTTATTTTATTTTCGCATTTATTTTATATTTAATTATGCCGCGTCTCACTTTATGAGTATCCTTTCACGTTAATGTTCTTGATCTTGTTGTTGACATAATTTTCAGGCTTCCTCAGAGTATGACCAAACCATCTTAGTATTCTTGTGATAATCCATCTTCATGGATACTACAAATCTTATCTGCGAATCCGACTCTCATTCCTACCATTTTCATTGGCCATGTTTCTGAGCTTAGGACAATTTTTATTATTCAACTGTAAGTCATTCCTCTTTGATTTTTGGGGAGAATCCCTTTGTCGAAAGTAATTATAAATAGGTAAATGAAAGCTGCAAATATTTAGGCTCTAATTTATAAAACAACACAAATTAGGGAAAAATAAAGACCAAAATAAATTACCGATGGATGATATGACTGAACTCATTTAAAAAAAAATAGATTGCAAATTATTGTTAAGTTTTGCTAAAATGTTTAATGAGAAAATCAGTTTGAATTTTTGCCACCTCAGGATTAAATTAGATTTAAAGAAAATAATAAATGAATATTTTAAGGGTGGGGGGGGGGGAGTTGAAATAAATATTAATTAAAAATGGTTAAAATAAGTTAAAAAATAAACCATTATTTTTAAATGTATTTTTTTTTGAATTCCCGCTTCAATTAGATAGATAGAATGGACCACATAATATCTTATAAATATCCCCATGTGTGGAGACAGTCTTCTTCGGCTTACGTAGTTTCAATTCGCATCATGATCAACTCCAATTCCCCAGCTTCCTATCAACACTATTTATCATCCCAGGTTTACTTTTATTAGCTTGTAGTAATATGATATGATGGGTAATCACATTATTTTTTATCAACGCTCACTAGGCTTTTTCCCTGTCCTGTGACTTACTTCACTGGTGCCGATAATTTTTTTATTAAATATCTCTCAAACATCTAAGGATATTTTTTTACTATTATATATGTTCACAAAAAAATGCAGGTTTCGGCCTTATTCGCTGACGCCATTAAGGCATGCTTAGGCCAATCCGTTCAGGTCTCCACTACGGTACAAGTAGAAAAAGAAATTTTTCACAAGCACCTATCAGGAATTTGTTCGAAAGGATATTCCAATACGGATCTCATGCTGAATCATAACGATCCCTCATCCCCATTGATGATTGATTTTTACGAATATTGATAAGATATCGATCTCAATAACACTAAAATAATTATGGAATCTGAGTTGCTTTATATTATATATAATTGAATGCATGTTATTTTGGAATATACGAAATTATGGGGATTGCATGTTATTATATTAAATTATGGAAATAATAATTTTTTTTAATGTTATAAGTTGAATAGTTGACAAGAATAATTGTAAATTTTTTTATTAATGTTTTTATCGGTATATATATATATAATGTCGAATAATTATCGTATAATTGGTTGCATTATTTAATATAAATCAACGATGAAATTATATAGTCAATTTTTTGTTAAATTTTTTTAAGCTAATTTTCTACAAAATTAATGCTGGATTTTTTTTATATAAAATAACATAAGAAAATTCATAGATTATATTAAACGAATACTTACGAGCTTTCAGAGATGTATCACAAAAATAAGAGTCATACTATTTTCAAAAATGTGACCTAGGCTCTCCTGCAGGATGCCGCTTACGTATCTGATTGTTTTAAACAAAAATGAATGCCAAATTTTTTAGTTTAGAATTTTACCTTCTCTATCGCAAAAATTTCTAGACCCCTACAAGAAATTTTTTATGGGGGCACCTCATGCCCATTTGTGACCTCTTTGGTATTTTTAAAGAAATCAATGCCCTCCCAAGGCGGCTAATACGAAAGGGTGGCTGACGAGATAATTCATAAAAGAAATTCAGATAAGATTTGTGAAAAAATAATTGACTAATATAAACGCTAATTTACAAAATTACTTACTCCCTTGTTCATTTTACCATATCGTTTTTTAAATATTACCACTGAGTTTCAATCACCATTTCGATTGGTCGATGGTAATTCCCTTATTTCCTGTTCCTCTTGTAATTTAATAGTCTTTTATAATAGTATTGTGGCAACATGCTAAACTGCCTGAATTTAGCAGAGAAAAAGAAAGACATTGCTAAAATAGAGATAACTATTTTATTTAATATTTAAGAAAAATCATATACCTTTTTATCGAATTCGCTATTGTTTATCTAATCGTATATCATATTTTTTATTAACGCATCGCAACATATGTTTTTCAAATTTTATCATAGCGTTATCATCATAACGCTCCAGATTTACAAATTTATACCTATTTATGACTTTATTTTGTAATAAGACAATTGAATAAAACGCGTTTACTAGAAATTCGCCTTACATATTCGACATTATTTATAAAATGATAGGTTTTTCTTTATTCTTAAACTTTGCAAAATATATATCGTTAGAACAGCTGTTTGGGCTATATCAACAAATATTAAAGCTAAGATATCTTTACGCTATGAAGAATCAACTTTAATATAGCTTCGTTAAATAATGCAACGCTTGAAGATACCGCATTTAATATAAACACATCGTTACTCTCTCTAAAATGGTGACAGATGATGTTGCTTTGGAAAATAAATCTATTTTTGCCAAGGTAATAAAAATTAAATACTATAAATAAATGGAGTTTCAACCTTCAAAGTGAGCATAAAATAAAGGTATTAGACGACGCGCTGTAACCTCAAATAATGATATTTCAAGGTATTCGAAATTAATGAAATATATAGGTAGATTTATAAAAAAAAATTTTTTTTATAGCGACTTAAATTTTGTATCGACGATAATAATAAAAGGCAACTTCAATGTTTTTTTTTTAATTTAAAAAAAAACTACAGTTAAACGCATGCGCACTAATTATACATATATTCTGTTAGAACTGGAAATTTTAAAATAAATTAACATTCTTTATCTAGTTCCCATAAATTTTAAGGAAAGGATATTTCAGTTCCTAAATACATGCCGTTTTATTTTAAACTCAAGTTATTTTATCGGTGGAGAATAGATTAAAAATGGCCACTTAATATTTTTTTTTGAGTATAATAACGAATTATTTCATAAGATAGGGTAAAAGATTGGGAATATTGTAAATTATATTCTAAAAATGTTTCTTTTAATAAAAAATAATAATAAATTCTCAATAATTCACTATGTGCGAGCAAACGTAGTAAATAGTTATCTATAATCCATGATGTGAAAATATACAAGTTAATATTCCATCAAGAATTTAGTAAATTAATTTAGAATAAAGTTATCTACAGTTTTAATATGAATTCTCCATAAAGTGAAAAAAAACCTATTGAATCAAATCAATATTAAATAAAAAATAATTATGTAAATATAAATAGGGCGTTTCAATAAAACTAATTTTTTTCCCTCAGATAGTGAAAAGTCTAAAAACATAGCTAACCATATAATGGCAAATATAGCAGATTCGGGATTATCAATGAGTTGAATGTCAGCTTTCTGGCCTTAGTGAGTTTTGCGAAAACCAATTTACAGAAATGAGGCAGTACAATGTTGACTTAATGCCAATTGGCTGTATATGCCATATACTACATAATTCTTGCAAGAAGGCAATGAATGTATTACTGTCGATATCGAAATAATTGTAAATAAATGTTTTAACGAATTTAGTTCATCAAAATTAAAAGATTTGGTGGGGTGGTCTGACGTAGAATCGTGTGAGTTGTTGCCATGTCCCTATCAGATTTATTATTAATACTCGCCATCTAATGAATTTTAAAATTTTAGAAAATAAAGATCATAAAAGATGTCCTATTTTGAAAATTTTTTACGAGAATGAAATGGCAGAGGCATATTTAGGAATGGTTTTACATGTAGGAAATCTGCTACATGCTGTTTATGCAATTGCAATCTGAAGAATCTTTTTTAATAAAGATTAACAAAATTTTGCTATAGCTGTGTTCATCTTCACAGTTAAAAATTGACATTAAATTTTTTGGAGATATTGTTAAAAATACCTTACTAGTTCAAATATTACTCTAATCAGGCGCGTACGCAGGAATTTGGTCTAGGGGGGAGGGGGGGATAATAAAAATTTTTAAGAAATATTATTGTTTTTTAAAAATATCAAGCATAAATTTATTAGGACTAATAACTATTTCTAATATACAATTTTAAATTTAAGTGAATTATAAAAAAAATTATATGTAAAGAATCACTTAAATGACCCAAAATAGAAATTAGAATCTTTTGAGCCTTTTACACAAAAAGTTTCTTAGGAATAATTGCATTTTATATGTTATATATTTACAATGTAAAATCTAATCTTCGTTGTGATTGAGCTAATTTTTCAATTATCTCATCCTTGCTTGTCGTCAAATGCCTATGAATATTCAAAAGATCCAAACCTTTCAATCTACTTTCAGATGTTGTACTTCTTGGTATGTTTTTCAGAGACCTGCAGGTCCGGCCCCCGGGCTGGACAGTATTTTAATTTTTTTAAATATACCCGGGCCGGCCCCGAAATTTTTTTTAAAAAAACCCAAGCCGGGCTTGAAAATTTTATTTTAAAAAAAGCCGGGCCGGGCCTGAAATTTATTTTAAAAAAGCCGAGTCGGGCCTAAAATTTTTTTAAAAAGCCGGGCCTGGCCTGAAATTTTTTTAAAAAAACCCAGACCGGGCCGTAAAAAATCTTTAAAAAAATCCGGGCCGTGCCCTGCAATGGTACTCTGCAGGCCTCTGTTATTCTTTTTAAAAAAGAGAGTGTTCTCTCATTAGTTTACTAATGGGAAGAGTTTATAAACCCTTTTAATACATTGATAATTTAATCTAAAATGTGTTTGAAATAATGCAGAGCATCCATAGCATTTTTTGGGACTATATCAACCATTGTTAATCTTACAAATATAGTTATTCAGCTAGTAAGGCATATAAGATACTTTAACATCTTCATAATAAAAATCTAAGAAATATTTTTTTTTCTATCACCATCTGAAAAAGGTTGGGAAGGCTTTTGTGGAAGTAATATTTGTGGATTTGTAAGTGCTGCATGATGAATTAAAAATTCATTTATTTGGGTTATAAATGTATCTGTATTTAAGATATACTCTTCTACTGATCCTATAGTATGTTTTAACGATGAGCTTGCCTTGCTACAAGTCGAGGGAGACAAATATTAAACACGTATAGCTCTGCTTTTGACTCAACAATAAAATATGAAATTCTTCATCAACCTTAGCCCTAATTTCCTTGAGTTCTGATAAAATGCTCTCCGCTATTCTCATCTTCTTAATCAAGTCAATATCATGTTTTTGAAAAGTAATACTTAAATAGTTGTATAATTAAATAATACATTCTAATGAGAAATAAAATTTGGAATAAGCATTGAATCCAATAACTTTCTTGCTTCTGAGGAAATATTTCTTTCAGGCAATTGTGATATTTCAGTAATAGTAAATAATTGGCTCTTCTAACTCCTTAAAAGCTGTTACTGCTTGATGGCAGAGACTATATCTCGTTGGACAAGGTTGCAATTTCTTTTTCCCTGATGGACAAGAAGTTTCAGAAATAATAATTATTTGACTAGAAATTTGAAAATGGTAGATAAATATTAGGCCATTTGAAAATAATAAGTAAATATTACGGCGGAAAACTTGAAATCGAAATTAATTGATAAAATAACTTAGTAGATAAATGTGATAATAAATGTAATTAAATATATATTTAATATGAGATAAGAATAAATATTAACAAATATAAATTAATATAAACAATTATATTTTTGAAAAATATATCCGGCATGCCCCCCCCCTCCCCGCTGCGTACGCCAATGACTCTAATTAATGTATTTTTAAATGAAGCATATATTTTTATTAAGACAATTTTAGAATATTTGCAATCAAAATTTGATTCAATTACTCGATTTACAAATGTATAGATATGACCTTGGAACAGCACCAATCAATTGATGGTTTTTGTAATTTGATAAATATGATAAAATTACCAATTATTATATCGATTAATGTTTAAAAACAATAATGAATTTTATTTGTAATTCTTTTGTATATATACATTTATATAATTATCCAATTTAACTTCTAATAATATGCAATTTGATTAACCTCGATAATATAATATTGAATGTCGGAAAGTTATGATAATATAATATACAAATAATATATAACGTAACCTTTAAAATATATACGATATTCTAATATAACATAGATATTAATGTCTTGTTTGAGGAGATTGTCTATTTTTGATTCGCCAGAATGATCAAAGATAGATGGTCTAAAAGCAAAGGAGAAATAGGTGGAATTCTTTTGAAATAACGATAAATTCCCATCCTTGGGAAAAATATGTGAGTAT